TGGGCCAAAGTTCGTATCGGTAGCCTAAAAACAATAGCCCCAACAACCTCCATCTTAGGATTCAATTTCAATATTTGTTTGTGTTGAAGTTGTCCTACATCGGTTGTGGAAAGGGTTACTGATCGGTTTATACCTTACCTTTTAAGCTAGTTTTTGGGATGAGATAAGCCCAAGACCACCCAACACCAGTATTAGAGCCCAGGTTACCGATAAGTCTAGACCTAACAGTCACACGGGAGAAATATAGGTTGTTGCGGCTTCGACATAGAGCCTGATGTGTGAATGGGAGATTGTTGGGGCTAATGGTCAGTTTATAAGTGTTAGGGAAAGTCTCTCATTTTGAGCTAACTATTGGGGTGAGAGAGGCCCAAGACCACCCAACACTCATTGTTGAGATACACGTGTAAATTATGTTAGAAAGTCTCAAACCGGAGAATTGATGTGGTGGGAAGCAGTTAATATATCCTAATTGGCCCATTACTCATTGGCTTAAGCTTTTGAGTGAAGTTAGATCCAACTAGATATGCTAATGAGCTGAGACTTGGGCTCCCTTTTTGGCAATTTCCCCGGGTGAAGGTATTAAACTTCTACTGCGTGCTCCCGACAAATGGTATCAGAGCCGATGGTTGATTGGTGGGCCCCCTCAATCTATTTCGGTGTTTGGTGAATATCTCAAGGAAGTAATCTGGTCGCCAATGCGATTTCCGAGCGATGGACATTATGGAGTAGTAACGTGGTCCCAATGGCAGCCTTCATGGATCGGTCTAGAGAAAGAGACTAGCGATGAAGGCGGACATTGATGGAGATTCAAGCTGAGATATGTATATGTTGGTGAAAAAAGATACATGGATTAAAGGACAGTAGACCTAACACTGAGTTCACATGTGAGGATGAGATTATTGAGATACACGTGTGAATTGTGTTAGAAAGTCTCAAATCAAAGAATTGATGTTGTGTGGAGCAGTTAATATATCATAGTTGACTCATAACTCATTAGTTTAAGCTTTTGAATGAAAGTGGGTCCAACTAAATATGTTGACAGGCTCGGACTTGAGCTCTCTCTTGAATCTCCTTAGTAAAGATATCGAACTTCTAATACACATTCCTAACAATTTGCAACCGCAGTCGCACTCTTGCCTGAGCAAGCATCTACTGCAGGGGGAATCCTCAGGTGGACTCGATCTTATAAGGATCGCGTTCGGTCAAGAATTTGTCAACCGTGAAGATAGCCATTATTATCCTACCTGATCTTATAATGGAGTAAAACAAATTAAGCAAATCATTTTCCGTGCAAATTCCATACAGGGATCGTCCCTTGGTCTCCATCGACTTTGCCCACTTCCCATAAAAGATGGCCACGGCCCCTTTCTTTAACGGTCTTCCATGGCCACTCCATCCTCATCTTGTGGGACTTCGATGTCTTCCTCAGCTTCCGAGGCGAGGACACTCGCGCCGGCTTCGTCAACCACCTCCACATCGCCCTCCACTACTGTCGAGTCCGCCTCTTTCGTTGACAACGAGCTCCGGTGGGGAGAGAGGATCTCCCTTTTGCTCGAGCGGGCCATCGAGAGCTCTAGATTCTCCATCGTCGTCTTCTCCCCCAACTTCGCGGCCTCCACCTGGTGCTTGCATGAGCTGACCAAGATTCTCTAGCTAAAGGACTCGAGAGTGCAATTGCTCCGGCGGTTTTCCTCCGCGTTGACCTGAGCGATGTGTGGAAGCAGATTGGTGTCCTTGTGGAGATCATGGCGAGGCATGAGGAGGTTTTTGGTGATGGTTCGGAGAGAGTGAAGAAGTGGAGAGACGCGCTCCGCAAAGCGGCTAACTTGTTCGGATGGCATTTAAGCAACGGGTAATTGTCTAATTATTCTCGGCTAATTGATTGGATTCTCTTGATTGCTGTTTGTTTGGTAGAAATTTATATTATATTATACTAGATTAGAACTCGCTAGAATCGATAAAACATGAAACTTGTTGCATAAATTTGGCCAAATTATTTGAGAAATGGAAGCTCTGTTTTATTTCGCTGAAAATGAATAATTTAAAAAATATTTTTCTAAAAATGATCGCTTATATCGCTTGAAATAATTAACCAAATAAAGTATTTTATTATAAATAACAATTTATGTATAAATATTTCGATAGACGATGAAAATATTTTTTATTCATTCATTTTTGTAAATAATATAATTGATCATTTTTAAAAAAATATTTTTTTAATTATTTATTTTTCGCGAAATAAATAAAATCGAAGTTTCAATTTAGTTTGCTTAGAAGAAGGAAGCACAACTGTGGTTGGAATTGGAAATCTCACTTTCAGAGTGTCATTGTTCCTATTGTAAAATATTATAATCCACCAAAATTTGACATACGTAGAGTAGATTGGGTCCCACCGAATATTTTTATTAGGAAATATGTGTGTTCCCTTGCTTTTGTTCGGCCAGTCTGCCAAATTGAAGTACAACTCTTCTTTTAACTCTTCTTGATCTTGGTCGAACTTGGATGGAAGATCACACCGCTGTACTTCTTCTGCCGAATCTTGGATTTATATATATTCATTATAATCCAAGATAAATATCCGTAAAAGCAATACCAAAATTTTGAATTTTCCAATGAGTATGGATTTCATACACGTCTCAAACTCGTGACATAATTTAACAATTCTCTACATTGACTCGATGTTTGAAACCAAGTAACAAGTTATAGTGCTCATCATCCATGCTACTCTCCAATGCTCTAACGGGCGCTCACTCTTTACAGACGCCAATTGAGCTCAAGCAGAACTTGAGCTTCACCAAAGGACATGCTTATTCATCATATATGATGGATTCTCTGCTATAACAATTTTTTCCGCAACAACTTTACCCTTCGCTAAGACATCTCGAATGAAATGATATCTGATGTTGATATGTTTTGTTCACTTATGATAAATTAGATTATATGCCAAATATATTGCACCTTACTAAATGAAGACTAGACTGCTAAGTTTCGGATTTTGGACTTTCTATGCTTCTTCCTAAGGGTGAAGATTACTATGAGGATTCTGTTGTCGACACCTGGGATTGTTCGGATCCAAAATACGTCAATACCAGAAGACTAACGACTAAAAGCGATGTGTATAGCTATGGTATTGTGTTGCTTGAGTTGTTATCTGGACGCAAAGCGGTAGATAGGAATGAAGATGGCTGGAGATGGATTGCAAACGTCGTAGTTCCGAGCATTAGCAAAGGACCGGAGAAACTTTCCAGTTATGAATCAGGTTTCATTAATTAAAATTTAGAACATCCCTTTTTCGAGCATTAGCAAAGGCTCGCCCTCGCCTGGGTCGCGACGGCGAGGCGAGGCCGACCTCGCCTTGCCCAGCCAGGGGCCGGCGAGGCTCACCCTCACCGGTGGCCGGCGGGGCGAGCTGAGGCCTCGCCGACCCTCCCCTCTGGCCGGCCGCCGGTCGCCGGACCGGCCAGGGGGGAGACAACAGAAAAAAAAAAAAAAAGAAGAAAAAGAAAAAAATATATTAAAAAATTGAAAAAAATAATTAAAAATTGCCACGTCAGCGTTGACCGGATGACCAGCGCCGGCCGGTGGCCACGTCAGCGCCGGCCGGCCAAAATTGACCGGAAGGACTGAATTGGCAAGAATTAAAAAGGTTTAGGACTGAATTGGCAAAATTAAAAGGTTTAGGACTGAATTGGCCGTCGTACAATAGGTTTAGGATTGATTTGACAATTTTCCCCTTTGAAAGTTACAAGATGGCTGGGCTCTGGACCCAATCATGCCAATTCCGGCCCCGTTCGTGATGATGGCAGTGGCAGATATGGCGTATGTCGTTGTGGATTGTGTTCAGGAACAAGCTGATGACGGACCCTCGATGACTTTGTGTAGTGGACCGCCTAAGGAGTGCTTTAGCTCAATTCTCATCTGTGATGACATGAAAACTAGTGAATCTTGAAAATCAGGTTTAATGCTATAAGAAGAAATTACCAGAGAAATCACTGAGAATCAATAAGAAAATAAGAGAAAATGAAAGAAAAAGGAAAAGTAAACAAGGAAAAGAGGAGTAAATAAAAAAGAAAAATTTTAAAAGGCTCATGTAATATTTATTATACTATATACAAAAATATACATGAGTTAGACAATTCTTTCCTCTTAGTTTTAGAGCTAGACAATCTAAAGGAAATTTTAATTGCACTTGCATCTTGAGTCCTCTCTTTGCCTCAAATAAAGTGAAGGAGATGCGCTTCAGGTGTGCACTCGATGTTCATTAGATGCTATGTGCACTCAGTGTTCATCAGATGCTATGTGCACTCAGTGCATTCAAAATTTTCATTGGATCATACCGCTCTGATACCAAGATAGGAATAATACGGAATAGAGAAATGTGGAATTTCAATTTATTTTTGTATACATTATAATAAAAACTACACAAACCTATTTAATACAAAAATAATATCATATTCGGTCCTATTATTGAAAGCTAATTCATGCGGCGCTTGCTTTCAAATAGTTCCATCTTCTTTGAACACAATCTACTTGAAAGCTAATTCGAAGGGCTTTCACGCTCAATTTGCAGACAATATTATTGTCTTACCACTAATTCTCTTTTCTCTTTTCAAATTTCATGGATTGACATTCATAAATTGTACCGGGTGAGATTAGCTCCTCTTCGAGGTTGTATTGAGAGCGAGACTTCTGATTTGAACACGAGATACATCGTATCCAAGCCAAGCAATCAACCACTCAAAAACTCTTTCTGGGTGATTTTCTTTTGTTATCTTGGAAATGTTTGTATGCTTCCAAGTTCCAGTTGAAGATTTTCGCTCTCGAACGTAAAAGTCACGATTTGGCATTAATGGCGACTCTCGGGTACACTGATGTGCGTGGACAGGCAATTCTCCATGTCGCACTCGCACAGGCAACAGGAAAGTCAGCCCGACCGTGACTTGTTTGCAGCCCCAGTCGCAATCCTGTCTGGATTGCACAGGCAACATGAGATCAAAAATGGGAGGGCAGAAAGAAACAGGGATCATCCCCGCGTCTCCATTGACTTGTGCCCGCGTCTCCGTCGACTTTGCCTGCTTCCCATAAACGATGGTCATGCCCGCTCCCTCTCTCCAACCCTCTTCCATGGCCACTGCGTCGTCATCTTCTTCTTCCCCATCTTGTGCCGCCGTCCCTCGATGGGACTACGACGTCTTCCTCAGCTTCCGAGGGGAGGACACTCGCGCCGGCTTCGTCAGCCACCTCCACACCGCCCTCCGCCGCATCGGAGTCTGCGTGTTCATTGACGACGAGCTCCGGCGGGGGGAGAGGATCTCCTTTTCCCTCGAGCGGGCCATCGAGAGCTCCAGGATCGCGATCGTCGTCTTCTCCCCCAACTTCGCCGCCTCCACCTGGTGCTTGCAGGAGCTGACCAAGATTCTCGAGATCAAGGACTCGAGAGGGCAACTAGTCCGGCCGGTGTTCTTCCGTGTTGACCCGAGCGATGTGCGGAAGCAGACCGGCGTCTTCGCGGAGATCATGGCGAGGCATGAGGATGCTTTTCGTGGTTTTGATGGTGATGGTTTGGAGAGAGTGAGGAAGTGGAGAGGCGCGCTCCGCGAAGCGGCTAATTTGTCCGGATGGCATTTAGGCAACGGGTAATTGTCGAATTGCTCTCGGGTAATTGTCGAATTGCTCTCAGCTAATTGACTGGATTCTCTTGATTGCTGTTTGTTTTGTAGAGAATTTGCATCAGATTATATTAGATTAGAAGTCGCTAGAATTGGTAAAGATGAAACTCGTTGCAAAAATTTGGCCGAATTGTTTGTGAATGGAGTTTCAATTGAGCCAGCTTAGAATAAGGAAGCAGAACTGTGTGTTTGGATCTGAAATTCTCACTTTCACAGTGTCATAGTTCAATTATATAACGCGGATGCATCATCACCTTATGCTCCTGAAGTTGCTAACGTTTGTTGTTTCGAAGTTTAAGGTGCTGAATTATAAGCCCCTTTTTGTTTTTTTGATGGCCAAGAATTATTAGTCTCTAATTTGATCAACTAGCTTCGAATCATGTATACCTTACCTTACTATTCACCGTGCATATCTCTTTGTGTAAGCACTTTAATAACTGATAACATGATACTTAGGGATAATGAAACAAATGGTCTATGAATTTTTAATTTTTTTAGTGTGGTCCCTGAACTTTAACCCAATATACAATGTGATCCCTGAACTTTTCTTTTGTTTAATGAGGTCCCTATACTTTTGGTACATTTTCAATAGAGTCCCTGAACTATAAGAAAATGTTCAAATTCCTTCAATTAATTCAAGATCAGGGATAACAATTAACATTTTCATATAGTCTGGGAATTAAAATGAACATGTACCAAAAGTTCAGAGATTACGTTGCATAAATTAAATTTCAAGAACCACATGGCATTTGGCTAAAGTTCAGAGACCACATTAAACAAATTAAAAGTTTAGAGACCGCATTGTATATTGGACAAAAGATCATGAACCATTTGAATCATTTTCCCTAATACTTATCATAACTTTTATGTCTAAGTCCAACTCAAGGGCTGGTGTCTAACCAATTATTGCGGCTTAATTGATTCATATGTTCTCGGATCAGGAGGAAGCTGCTATTTCCGATAATCCTCCTCATCAGCTTATTTAGTTTAGTTTAGCAGAGCATGTGATCACTTGTACCAGATTAAGGAAGACAGAGTAAATAATTTAATCTTTGGAGAACCTTATGGCTGTTGTAAGATACATCATTTGGATATCTGGTACTTCTTAAAGAGCTCTAACAAGTAAATATCAAGTTCTATTGTTTAGTCTTGTGGCTTGGCAGGCTGTCACATATTTTTAGTGATTGCAATTGGCAGTCTTGAATCTGAACTCATCCAGAAAATTGTTGAAGAAGTGTCAAGCAAGCTGCACCGCCCGTACTTGGATGTCGCGAAGCATCCAGTTGCTCTTGACAAACATATACAGGCTGTAAGAATGTTATTGCATATAGAGGATGATGGCATTCGCATTGTGGGTATCTGTGGGATTGGAGGAATAGGCAAGACAACTATTGCTAAAGCTATATACAATATGATTGCTGATCAATTCGAAGGTAGTAGCTTTCTGGCAAATGTCAGAGAAATTTCTTGGCAGTATGGCCTTGATAAACTGCAAGAAGCTCTTCTTTGTGACATTTTGGGGGATAATACCATAAAGATTGGCTACATTCAGACAGGTGTAGATTTGATCAGGCAAAAGCTTTGCAATAAAAGGATTCTGTTAGTTCTTGATGATGTCAATAGCACGGACCAACTAAGGGGCTTATTGGGTGAAAGAGGTTGGTTTGGTCAGGGGAGTAGAATAATATTAACAACAAGAGATGAAGAAGTACTGGTCGCTCACAGTGCAGAAATCTATAAGGTCGGTGAACTAAATTATGATGATGCTCTTCAACTTTTCAGTTGGAATGCCTTTCAGGAACCATCACCTGCAAGAGATTACCAGCTTATCTCCTTCGGTTTTACTCACTATGCCAAAGGTCTCCCTTTGGCTCTTATTGTATTGGGATCTTTCTTGAGTGGTAAGAGTATTCAGGAATGGAACTGTACATTAGAAAGATTGAGAACCATTCCTAACGGCCAGATTGATGAGATTCTGAAAATTAGTTTTGATGGATTGGAAACTCATGAACAATCTATCTTTCTTGACATTGCTTGTTTCTTCAAAGGGGAAGATAAAGATTATGTAACAAAGCTGCTTGACCGTTGTAACTTCTATCCAGACAGGGGGCTTCAAATTCTCTCTCAAAAATCACTTATATATGTGAACTCGAACAAGATATGGATGCATGACTTGCTTCAAGAAATGGGTCGAGAAATCGTGCGGCAAGAATCTCCTGAAAATCCCGGCAGGCGCAGTAGACTCTGGCATCATGAGGATATTATGAGAGTGTTACGAGAAAATTTGGTAATTTTCCATTCAATAAGATCTGTATTTTCTTCTTGTTTAAATTTTACTGGAGTTATGGCACTACAATTACATGATGTGTGGCGCTTTACCGTTGGTTTGACAATTTAATAGCATAGGTTCTTGCATGAAGACCCTATAAATGTTCATTAATAAATTTATGACGTATCTAACTTTGTTGTCTTGCACTTAAGGGTGCGCGCACAGAGTATTTTGTCTACTGAGTGTGATTAACTCGTGCTCGTATGTTTGCTTTCGATTTGAAGGGAACGAACTCGGTTGAAGGCATTAAATTGGACATGCTTGAGCCTGAAGAGGTGTTTATGGGTGCAAAAGCCATCAAGCAGATGAAAAGGCTTAGAGTGATTATGGTTCGCAACATACATATATCTGGATGCCCCGAGTATCTTTCAAATGACATAAGGTGGCTTGATGTGCATGGAAACAACTTGCCAGCAACTGTAGAAAGTTATGGTCCTGCGCAACCTAGTATTCATCATTCCAGTCCCACCAAACCGTCTAAGAATAAGAAACATCATGGTCTGATCAAAACAATTTTACTTAGATTTGGATGCAAAGTTGTAGCAACAACAAACTGTCAAATTAATTGCAGAGATGCGCTGTCAAACTTTAGATGTATTGTCGCTACCCCACATAAGCTTGCCCAGTTTTTACGCTTCAAGAGACGCAGGGATTATAGTCATAACAATGGCGAAGCAGATATTTACAGTGATATGCTGTCGGAGGAATATTCGGTATATCCTTGTCATTTCGATGGCTTTATTTCTCATTACTTCATTTTACTGGAATGCTTGCTGATAGATTTTGCTTCAGGTATTCAAAAAATTTACAAAGGCAGAGCTGGTTCATGCAACTAATGATTTCTCCGATGACAATAAGATTGGAGTAGGCAGCGCTGGTTCAGTGTATTGCGGGAGACTGTATGATGGACAGGTAGTGGCCATCAAGTGGACAAACTTACCCAAAGAAGGCTTTAAAGACTGCATGTTCATCAACGAGATCAAAACTCTCCGTCATGTGGATCATGAGAATCTTATTCACTTTTTGGGATTTCATGCAAGCCGTAGTGAGTGCGCCCTAGTCTATGAGTACATGAATCATGGCTCGCTGTACTACCACCTTCACATGATTGGAAGCTCAACTTTGATGTCCTGGAAGGCACGGCTCAGGGTGGCACTGGATGTCGCTAGGGGAATCGAGTACTTGCATGAATTTGCAGGTCCTCGAATAGTACACCGAGATGTGAAGTCATCAAACATATTGCTAGATAAAAACTGGACTGCCAGAGTTTCGGATTTTGGACAATCCAGACTTCTTCCTAAGGATGGTTCTGATTTGGAGGAAGAATCATACTTGAATGCTGCTGTTGGCACCTTTAATTCTCAGGGTCCAGAATGCAATGACACCAGAAATTTTACGGGCACCAGGGGTTATGTGGATCCAGAATACTACGTCACCAATAGACTAACGACTAAGCTCGATGTGTATAGCTATGGCATTGTGTTGCTTGAATTGTTATCCGGACGCAAAGCATTACATAGGGCTGAAGATGGCTCAATGGGTCATATCACGGACACTGTAGTTCCATGCATTGCTCAGGGCGAATTTGATTTGGCTCTGGACCCAAACATGCCAATTCCGGCCTCGTTCGAGATGGGGGCAGTAACAGATGTGGCGTACCTCGCTGTGGATTGTGCTCAACAACGTGCTGAAGACCGACCCTCAATGACTTGTGTAGTGGACCGCCTGAGGAGTGCTTTAGCGCAATGCTCATCCACATGACAGCAAAACATCACCAGCTTGTCTTTACTATAATTTCAAGTTCCCCATTTTTGCTATTTAAGAAAGAATGTGAAATGTAAAGTACAACTAAGCGATCTTTTACTATAAAAGAACTATTAATTTATTCCAGCAATATATACTTTTCAACTTTGAAGTATAATTTCACTCGAACTATCTAAATAAAAAATATGCAATTTCTCTATTAGAAATAGTTAGGATATCTGCCTTGATTCTTCATATTCTCATGATGTGCATATATCTATGAGATTTTCCATATCTCACTTTGATTATGCTTATCTTTATTGATTTAGTTACCTTAGATAGTTATCTGATAAAGTCTATAAATAAGCTCATGTTTATTATACTATATACAAGAACATACATAAATTACCCAACTCTTTCCTCTTAGCGTCAGAGCTAGATGATCTAAAGGAGATTTTGAATGCACTTGCATCTCGAGTCCTCTCTTTGCCTCGAATAATGTGGAGGAGATGTGCTTCAGGTGTGCACTTGGGTGTACATCAAATAGCTTTAATATCAACATAGAAATAACGTGGAATAGAGAATTGTGTAATTTTCGTATATTTCTGCATCCATTATAATGAAGACCATTTAAGCCTATTTAAGACAAAATTAATATCATCTACCTGGAAGTTGGAATTGCACGGCGATTGTTTTGAAATGGTTCTAGTTGCATTCCAACTCTGTTTATCGAAAGCAAATTCATACAGTGCTTGATTTCAAATAGTTCCATCTTCTTTGAGCACAATCTACTTGAAAGCTAATTAGAACGGCGTTGGTGCTCGATTTACAGACAATGTTAATGTCTTATTACTGATTATGTTTTCTCATTTCAAAATTCGTGGATTGCAGCGAAAGCATTGACGGACATTCATAAACTCTACCGAGCAAGGCTAGCTCCTCTAGCAAGATGGTGAGGGTAGTTGATTTGAACATGAGATACATCGTATCCAAACCATGTTATAATATTAATAATGTGATCCCACATTCAGTTTATTATTCCCACATTCAGTTTATTTTATTAACGTTTATTGTCCACATCTGAGAATGTGGTGACCGTCCAAAAGTCACGATAACGTCTTCCATCAAGATATTATATGAAGGGGTGTGAATGGATATAAAAAAGTTTTCTAAGCTAAACCTTCTTATAATGAAAAAATACACCATCGACGTTCATAGGGCAAATTGGCTAGAGATACCTATTCATAGACCATTCAATGCTCGACGATTCAAGTGATCAATCGAACTACATTAATGGCCGGAGGTTAACAGGAATCTTCATGTGTCCACAATCGATTTTGATTATACATGAGTTTTGTTCATTCATGAATAATCAAGCTCTTCGGTCTTTAGTATTTCCAACATTTGGTATCATAGTGTGGTTAAATCATTGTCTTGATGAATTTTGTGGGATTTTGACTGAATTGTAAAATCGGCCAATTTGGGGCCAAGAGAGAAATTGTCGATTTCGGCCAAATTCCAACTGCCCACCGCCTAGCTTCGGACCCGTACGGTCATACCGCCATGGGGAAGAAAAGCCCTAAGTTCATTCGGCATATCGGTAATTGCCAGAGGCTAATTGCAAGGCGGAAGTTGCGGTGGTTAGGGTTTGCGTTTTGGTAGAATTTTGCTTGATTCAGGCAGATGTCTTGGCCGTTTTCGCCAATTCTTGGACCTATGTGGTTGCGCCGGTGTGTTCTCCAAAACCCACCACTCAATTTGGTCTAAGGTGGGCAGAGACTGGAGCAGGTATGTGAGCAATTGAAAAATCGCGACATGCACGCGCCCGTGTTGGCCCTCAAGTGCTTACGCGACATAGGCCTATGCGCTGCCTCAGGCGCATGCACGGTATGTGCCCGTGCATTAAAAAAAAAATTGGGGCGAGTATGCTCTTTTGGCAATCTTACATTTCTGCCCCTCTCCGCGATTTTACGCTTCTGCCCCCTCTCCTCTCTGAATTTACGATTCTACCCTTGGTCGATTAATTTAATATTTTTCCCTGCCGGCATTAATTTACCATTTTTCCCTTCCGTGCAATTTGGTGAATGTTTGTGCACGTGATAAATGTCTAGTGATCCATATACAATTTTGTTTAATTAGAGATTAACAACGGCATCTCTAATTGTCTTAAATTATATATATTAAGAGGATTTGGATTGCATATATAAAAGGACATTGGTTGTAATTAATCGTATTAATATAATTAATTTTTTACCATTGGAATTTTTTATTATTTTGATATCATTAATTAGAATGAAATAGCATATTATATTTCTTAATTTACCCACAGGGATTAAGAAAAAGATTATGATTATAGTTACATCATATAATAATTATGAATCCATTTAAATTACAAACTTAGTCTACAGGCAATTTTTATGTTATGTGATTCATATTTTACATTGGTAAAGCATGATGTATATTTGATTTGTCTCAAATTTTGTGACATAAGTATGTATGTTTGATATGCAGTTTTATAACCTGTGAATTTTTCTAAATTTTAGAATGATCTTCCCGTGCGGAATGATGAAAACTATGAAGTTTGGAAGGAGTAGATCATTCTTCAATTGGGGTGTATGGGCATTGACTATGTTCTATATGCTCTAAGGAAAGACGAACATCAGCAAAAATTTCGACTAGTATCTGTGGTTCCACCTGTATGGATCGCTTTCAGTAAAGAATTTGCCGACCTGGTTCCGATGCGAGTAGCGATACCCGCAAGAAGAGAATAACCATTTTCCATGCAGATTCCGAGAAGGAAGCATTCCCCCGTCTCCATTGACTCGTGCCTGCGTCTCCGTTGACTTTGCCCTCCCATAAAAAAGATGGCCATGCCCGCTCTCTCTCCAACCCTCTTCCATGGCCACTGCGTCGTCAGCTTCTTCTTCCCCATCTTGTGCTGCCGTCCCTCGATGGGACTACGACGTCTTCCTCAGCTTCCGAGGGGAGGACACTCGCGCCGGCTTCGTCAGCCACCTCGACAAAGAGCTCCGCCGCAGCGGAGTCCGCGTCTTCATTGACAACGAGCTCCGGCGGGGGGAGAGGATCTCCCTTTCGCTCGAGCGGGCCATCAAGAGCTCCAGGATCGCCATCGTCGTATTCTCCCCCAACTTCGCCGCCTCCACCTGGTGCTTGCAGGAGCTGACCAAGATTCTCGAGATGCGTGGCTCGAGAGGGCAACTTGTCCGGCCGGTGTTTTTCCACGTTGACCCGAGCGATGTGCGGAAGCAGACCGGCGTCTTCGCGGAGATCATGGCGAGGCACGAGGAGGTTTTTGGTGGTGATGGTTCGGAGAGAGTGAGGAAGTGGAGAGACGCGCTCCGCGAAGCGGCTAATCTGTCCGGATGGCATTTAGGCAACAGGTAATTGTCGAATCGCTCTCAGCTAATTGACTGGATTCTCTTGATTGCTGTTTGTTTTGTAGAAAATTTATATTTGATTATACTAGATTAGAAGTCGCTAGAATTGGTAAAGATGAAACTCGTTGCATAAATTTGGCCGAATTTTTTGTGAAATGGAGTTTCAATTGAGCCTGCTTAGAAGAAGGAAGCAGAACTCTCTGTTTGGAACTGGAACTCTCACTTTCACAGTGTCGTTGTTCAATTATATTACGGGGATGCATTGAGATACGTTGTTCACCTTATGCTCCTGAAGTTGCTAACGTTTGTTGATTCGAAGTTTAAGGCGTTGAGTTCAATGTCTCATTTTGTTTTTTTGATGGCCACGAATTAGTAGTCTCTTATTTGCTAAACCATCTTCGATTCGTGTAGACCTTACCTTGCTGTTCCCCGTGTATATCTCTTTGCTCGAGCACTTTCATAACTGACAACATAATACTCATCATCACTTTTCAATTCTAAGTCAAACTCAAGGGCTGTTGTCAAACCAATTCTTGCGGCTTAATTGATTTATATGTTCTTGGATAAGGAGGAAGGTGCTATTTCTGATAATCCTCCTCATCAGCTTATTTAGTGTAGTTTAGCAGAGGATGTGCAAAACTGTACTTGAATGGGAAGATCATTTCAATATCAACTAATTTTCTTAACGAGCTCTAACAAGTAAATATCAACTAATTTTGTTTAGTTTTGTGGTTTAGCCGGTTGTTACATATTTTTAGTGATTGCAATTGGCAGTCTAGAATCTGAACTCATCCAGAAAATTGTTGAAGAAGTGTCAAGCAAGCTGCATCGCCAGTACTTGGATGCTGCAAAGCATCCGGTTGCTCTTGACAAACATATACGGGCTGTACGTATGTTATTGCGTACAGAGGATGATGGCATTCACATGGTGGGTATCAGTGGGATTGGCGGAATAGGCAAGACAACTATTGCTAAAGCTACATACAATATGATTGCTGATCAATTTGAAGGTAGTAGCTTTCTGGCAAATGTTAGAGAAACTTCTAAGCAGTATGGCCTACATAAACTGCAAGAAGCTCTTCTTCGTGATATTTTGGGCGATAAAACCATAAAGGTTGGCTACATTCAGACAGGTGTAGATTTGATCAGGCAAAATCTTTGCAATAAAAGGGTTCTGTTAGTTCTTGATGATGTGGATCGCACGGCCCAACTAAGGCACTTATTGGGTGAAAGAAGTTGGTTTGGTCAGGGGAGTAGAATAATTTTAACAACAAGAGATGAAGAAGTGCTAGTCGCTCACAGTGCAAAAATCTATAAGGTTGGTGAACTAAATTATGATGATTCTCTTCAACTTTTCAGTTGGAATGCCTTTCAGGAACCATCACCTACAGGAGATTACCAGCTTATCTCCTACGGCTTTACTCACTATGCCAAAGGTCTCCCTTTGGCTCTTATTGTATTGGGATCTTTCTTGAGTGGTAAGAGTGTTCATGAATGGGAATGTGCATTAGAAAGATTGAGAGCCATTCCTGACGGCCAGATTGATGAGATTTTGAAAATTAGTTTTGCTGGATTGGAAACTAATGAACGATCTATCTTTCTTGACATTGCTTGTTTCTTTAAAGGGGAAGATAAAGATCATGTAACAAAGCAACTGGACCGTTGTAACCACTATCCAGACAGGGGGCTTCAAATTCTCTCCCAAAAATCTCTTATATATATTGACTCGAACAGAATATGGATGCATGACTTGCTTCAAGAAATGGGTCGAGAAATCGTGCGGCAAGAATCTCCTGAAAATCCTGGCAGGCGTAGTAGACTCTGGTATCATGAAGATATTCTGAGAGTCTTCCGGGAAAATTCGGTAATGTTTCATTTTTCTTGTTCTTGAAAACTTTTAAAAATTACTGGACGTATGACCCTACAATCATTTGAGAGTGTGGCCCTTTGTCATTGACTTGACAATTTAATAGCACATACATTGGTTCTTGCATGAAAACCCTGCCAATTTTTAGGAATTTATTTATGATGTATCTAACTTGTTTCCATGCACATAAGGATGGCATACAGATAAGAGTATTTTGTCTTACTGAGTGTGAATAACTCCTGATTGCAAGTTCGCTTTGGATTTCAAGGGAACAAACTCTGTTGAAGGTATTAAATTGGACATGCTTGGGCCTGAAGAGGTGTTTATGGGTAGAAAATCCATCAAGCAGATGAAAGAGCTTAGGCTGTTTCTGGTGGGTGACATACATATATCTGGATGCCCCGGGTATCTTTCAAAAGATATTAGGTGGCTCGATGTGCATGGAAACAACTTGCCAGCAACGGTGGAGAGCTGTGATCCTGAGCAACCTAGTATTCATGACGAGAGCTGTGATCCTGAGCAACCTAGTATTCATGATTCCAGTCCCACCGAACCTGCAAATAATGAGCAACATCATCGTCCCATCAAAAAGATCTTGTCTAGATTTAGATTCAAAGGTGCAGCATCAAGAAACTGCAGAGGTGCTCTGTCAGACTTTAAAAGTATTATGGCCACCCCACTCAAGCTTCCCCAGTTTTTACGTTTCGAAAGACACAATGGTTACAGTCGTAACATTGGCAAAGCAGACTTTGACATGGATATGCTGTTGGAGGAATATTCGGTATATCCTTGTCATTTCATTGGCTTTATTTCTCATTTTATTTTCCTGGAATGCTTGCTGATAGATTTTGCTTCTCAGGCATTTAAAATAGTTTCAAAGGCAGAGCTGGTTTGCGCAACAAATAACTTCTCTGATGATAATAAGATTGGAATAGGTAGCTCCGGTACAGTGTATCGCGGGATATTGGGTGATGGGCAGGAAGTGGCCATCAAGCAGATAGAATTAACTGCCCGATACAAAATTGACGCAGTCATCACCGAGGTCAAAACTCTTGGTCATGTCAAACATAAGAATCTTATTCGGTTGTTGGGATTTCATGCAAGACATAGTGAGTGCGCCATAGTGTATGAGTACATGAATCATGGCTCGCTGTACTACCACCTTCACACTATCGGAAGCTCGACTTTGATGTCCTGGAAGGCACGGCTCAAGGTGGCGCTGGATGTCGCTAGGGGAATCGAGTACTTGCATGAATTTGCAGGTCCTCGAATAGTACACCGAGACGTCAAGTCATCAAACATATTGCTAGATGAAAACTGGACTGCTAAAGTTTCGGATTTTGGACTCTCTGTACTTCTTCCTGAGGGTGAAGATGACTTTGAGGATGATCCGAAAGGCACCTTTGGTTATTTGGATCCAGAATACTTCAATACCTCAAGAATAACGACTAAGAGCGATGTGTATAGCTATGGCATTGTGTTGCTTGAGTTGTTATCTGGACGCAAACCACTTGATATGAATGAAGATGGCAGGAGATTGATAGTGGATGTCGTAGTTCCATGCATCGTTGAGGGTGAAATTGCCCAAGCTCTGGACCCAAACATGCCAATTCCTGCGCCGTTCGAGATGACGGCAGTGGCACAGATAGCGTACCTCGCTGTGGATTGTGTTAAGAAATATTCCAGAAACCGCCCCTCGATGACTTGTGTAGTGGACCGCCTAAGGAGTGCTTTAGGTCAACTCTCATCCGAATTCTGTGATAACATGGAAACTAGCGGATATTGCAAATCAAGTCTATACTCATCTCAGTTGAGTGATGACACAGAAGATGACAGATCTTGCAATTCAAGTCTATACTAATCTCAGTTGAGTGATAACGCAGAAGATAATGATCTTGCAATTAAAGTCTGATGCTAGAAGAAGACATTACCAGAGAAATCGCCAAGAAACAATATGGACATTAAAAATTTACGTGGTGATAATTATTGTAAATTTATTTTTAGAGGTGGAAAGATTTTCATAGGTAGCGGATTCTGCTTCCACTTATCGTTTTGATAGCCTTGAGTTTTAGATTTATTTTCTCTTTGCCCGAAATAAAGAGACAAGTTCATGGTCCATACTATATGATCGAACGAAAGAAGGATGATATACAATCCGTACGTAACAATGTGTTGAGCTTGGATAGTACCGGTGAAGCTGACAGAATATCATGTACTCACCAAAAGCGAACTCTCCTACAATGCCTTTGGCTATTCCAAATTTTCAATAGCCCGGCCATCGCTTAGAGAATTGTCCTGGGCTCTTTCCAAAACAAGCAAAACTCTCTCGCTCGCGTGCATGAAAGAAAATTGAAACGATTTTCTATCAACGACTCATGGTTAGGGTTCAAAATACCATTTTTAACCAAAACATCTTTACCTAAGAAAAGGAATGACTAGGGAAAAGAATACTAGAAGTGCCAAAAGTTTTTTTTGGATCACTTAAATGCCAAATCGAAGAAAAAATGATCACTTCAGTGCCAAATCGGAGAAAAAGCGATCACTTAAGTGCCAATTCCGGCCAAATTGATTACGTGGCATTTATAATTAAATTTGTTAATATGACTTGACATTTTCTTTTTAAAATTCGGTCCATGTGGACATCTAAAACGACATCACACAATCCAACTGGCACTGAAGTGATCTTTTTTAACAACAACTAGCACTGAAGTGATCACTTTAAACAAATTTTGGCACTCAAATGATCACTATTTACAATTTTTATACGATGTCGTTTATAAGTTATATACTGACTAGGCATGCCAACGAGCCATGTAGGACTATGAAATTAATAAAATATTGTCACGTCGGATTTCCGGCAATTCAGATCGGATTTGATACTTAAATAATCGTTTTTTTAAAAAAAAGTGGCACTTAAGTGATCCGAAACAAACTTTTGGTGCTAAACTGAGCGCCGTACACAACTTTTGGTACTTCTAGTGTCTTTCTCCCGAAATGAATGTCTTACATTAGCGTGTTTTTGGTCATTAACCAAATGGATCAACTAAAAGTTATAAGATAGAGGCCTATATGGTAGTAATAGCAAATAGAAACGATTTTCGCTCGTCGCGTAACCCCTTGATAACATCCTATTCTAGCAATCTTCTAATCTACCATAAAATGCTTCAAGGATGCTTCACTTAAGAAGTAAATAGCAACGCTTCGTCGTTGATACTCTCTTTATGTTTCTTGGAGGATACGTAGTCTAGTTCATGATGTGCTTGCCAAATCAGCCAAACCTAGACTTAGGAACCCCCTATTTGGTTGTCATAAATGTGGATATAATTGACCAAATGGAGTCATTTCCTATTGAAAACACTTGCCAATTACAGCTTTTCCAATCATATTTCCTTTCGTGCATGGAATGTGATGAGTTTCCTTATACATTGGATGGTAAGCCGAGTCTCGTTTCCATCTAAATAACATGCTCCCAAAACATTATAAGGAAAGGAGGAAAAAAGGAAAAGAGAGAAAGAAAGAAAGAAAAAATAAAAAATAATTAAAAAAACCGCTTCGCATTAAGGAAAGTTGCCTACATGAAATCGTCTGTCGTGAAACATGGGACGGCCGGTGCTAATTGGAACGCCACGTTAGAAATTTCAAGTGACACTTGGCCGGAAGACTTGATTTCATTTTCATTCAAAAGTTTAGGACTACATTGGTTCAATTAAAGATTCATGATTAAATTGAAATCCATATAATAAGTTTATAACTGAAAATGCAGTTACTACTGACATGAAAGAAAAATGTGCAAGTGGATATCTAGACGTGCCCTGTCAAACAAGGCGAACGATGTTGAGAGGGGGACGAGGTATGCTTCAAGCGTTCACTTGGGTGTGCACCGAATCGGGTAGCTCTGATACCAAAATAAGAATAATGCGGTATAGAGGATTGTGTAATTTCTGTATATGTTATAATGAAAGCTACATGAACCCATTTAAGGCAAAATTAATATTATTTACCCAAAAGTTGGTTTTTTTGTTAATCTTATCCTACTCTAACTCTCGACTCACTCTCAAACTTTCGTCATGCCTTTTTGCAGATTGCGAGAGTCGAACCCCACACATGAAACTAAACGTTCCCATCCCCCACCCTTTAAGAAGGTGAGAATTCGAACTTCTCATCTTGCTTTTCCCGTGTAGGAAAGATGGCCACCGAGCAACCCCAAGTGGTTCCAAAAGTTGATTCGCATGATTGTTTGTTTTGAAATGGTTACAGCTGCATTCTAGCTCGTTTATCGAAAGCTAATTAATACGACGCTTGCTTTCAAATAGTTCTATCTTCTTTGAACACAATCTACTTGAAAGTTAACCAACCGCATTCATGCCCAATTTTCGGACGATGTTATCGTCTTAAAGACTATTGATCAGTTTCTTTCTCATTTCAAAACTGATGGATTGCAGCAAAAGCATCTACGGACATTCATAAATTGTGTCGGGTGAGGCTAGCTCCTCCTGCAATACAGTCGGCGCGGCCTCGAAGGTCTTATTGAGAGTGAGACCTTTTAACTTGGACAAGAGATTTATGGTATCCAAATCCAGCAATCAAGTGCTCAAAAACCCTTTTTGGGTGATTTTTCCCTCGTTATCTTGGAAATGTTTAAAAGAGAAAACTTTGCACACTTCAAATTCTAATTAGAGTTAATATCACCAAAAAACCCAAACTGGTACATATATGACAAATTTACCTTCCGTTAGTTTCCGTTAAATTTTACCGTCAAATTACTGAGTTGGATGACACGTGGCTGTTGACGGGTGTACTAGTTTGAGATTTTACCCTTCTGTTTATCACATGTTTATTAATTTGTGATTTTTCGTGGTATTAATCCGATTTAACGGATGGTGAATTTGTTACAATTGTACCAATTTGAGATTTTTTTTGGTCAAAAAATTAATTCGGGATAAATTTATCATGAAAGTATCAGTTTGGAGTTTTTTGAAGTATTAACTCCAAAGAAAATTCCCAGTTTGCCATTAACGGTGACTCTCGGGAACGCTGATGTGTGGGCGGGCAACTCTTCGATGTCGCACGTGCCAGGTGTTCGATTCGGTTCGATCCCGCCCAAAGTTGCGCTTTTTTTCGGTTTGTGTCGGTGGCCTATCATCGTTAGCCTCGAAAACCTCCATCTCTCGGGTGGATTTGTTTGCAGCCTCGGCTTGCAACACTCACTGTCAGTGTCTGAGCATACGCTTCGACGGCGAGGTGAACCCTTGCATGGATCGCGTTCAGTCAAGAATTTGCCGACGGCGACGGTAGCGATGGCCCGCGCCCGTTGACCGTGCATGTTTCCAACATATTCCGAGCAGGGATCGTCCCCGCGCCTCCCTTGACTCGTTCCCGCACCTCCCCTGACTCGTTCCCTGGGATCGTCCCCGCGCCTCCCTCGACTTCGCATAAAAAGAGATGGCCAGGACCCCTCTCTCCAATGGTCTTCCATGTTCCACTGCATCCTGTTCTTCTTCTTCTTCTTCTTCTTCTTCTTCTTCTTCTTCGTCTTGTGCCGCCATCCCTCAATGGGACTACGACGTCTTCCTCTGCTTCCGAGGCGAGGACACCTGCGCCGGCTTCGTCAGCCACCTCCACACCGCCCTCCGCCGGAGCGGAGTCTGCGTTTTTATTGACGACGAGCTCCAGCGGGGAGAGAGGATCTCCCTCTCCCTCGAGCGGGCCATCGAGAGCTCCAGGATCGCCATCGTCGTCTTCTCCCCCAACTTCGCTGCCTCCACCTGGTGGTTGCAGGAGCTGACCAAGATTCTCGAGATGCATGACTCGAGAGGGCAACTTGTCCGGCCGGTGTTCCTCTACGTTGACCCGAGGGATGTGCGGAAGCAGACCAGAGTCTTCGCGGAGTTCATGGCGAGGCATGAGAAGGTTTTTGGTGGTGTTGGTGATGGTGATGGTTCGGGGAGAGTGAAGAAGTGGAGAGACGCGCTCCGCGAAGCGGCTAATTTGTCTGGATGGCATTTAAGCAACAGGTACTCGTCGAATTACTCTCAGCTAATTGACTGGATTCTCTTGATTGCTGTTTGTTTTGTAGAGAATTTGTATTAGATTATATTAGATTAGAACTCGCTAGAATTTGTAAAGGTGAAACTTGTTGCATAAATTTGGCCAAATTGTTTGTGAAATGGAGTTTCAATTGAGTCTGCTTGGAAGAAGGAAGCAGAACTGTGTTTTTGGAACTGGAATTCTCACTTTCAGAGTGTCATTGTTCCAATATATAAGGGGGATGCATTGAGAGACATTGTTTCGAAGTTTAAGGTGTTGAATTATGAGTCCCTTTTTGTTGTTTTGATGGCCAAGAGTATTAGTCTCTTATTTGCTCAACTAGATTCGTATGTTCTCGGATGAGGAGGAAGGTGCTATTTCTGATAATCCTCTGTAGTTTAGCAGAGGATGTGCACACCTGTACTTGTATAGGATGTGCACACCTGTACTTGTCACATTTTTAGTGATTGCAATTGGCAGTCTTGAATCTGAACTCATCCAGAAAATTGTTGAAGAAGTGTCAAGCAAGCTGCATCGCCCGTACTTGGATGCTGCAAAGCATCCGGTTGCTCTTGACAAACACATACAGGCTGTACGAAGGTTATTGCATACAGAGGATGATGGCGTTCACGTGGTGGTTATATGTGGGATTGGCGAAATAGGCAAGACGACTATTGCCAAAGCTATATACAATATGATTGCTGATCAATTTGAAGGTAGTAGTTTTCTGGCAAATGTTAAAGAAACGTCTGGGCAGTATGGCCTAGATAAACTGCAAAGAGACTCTTCTTCGTGACATTTTGGGGGATAAAACTATAGAGGTTGGCTACATTCAGACAGGTGTAGATTTGATCAGGCAAAAGCTTTGCGATAAAAGGGTTCTGTTAGTTGATGATGTGGATCGCACTTCCCAATTAAGGGACTTATTGGGTGAAACAAGTTGGTTTGGTCAGGGGAGTAGAATAAACAAGAGATGACAAAGTGCTAGTCGCTCACAGTGCAAAAATCTATTATGATGATGCTCTTCAACTTTTCAGTTGGAATGCCTTTCAGGAACCATCACCTACAAGAGATTACCAGCTTATCTCCTTCGGCTTTACTCACTATGCCAAAGGTCTCCCTTTGGCTCTTATTGTATTGGGATCTTTCTTGAGTGGTAAGAGAGTTCAGGAATGGAATTGTACATTGGAAAGATTGAAAGCCATTCCTGACAACCAGATTGATGAGATTCTGAAAATTAGTTTTGATGGATTGGAAGCTAATGAACAATCTATCTTTCTTGACATCGCTTGTTTCTTTAAAGGGGAAGATCAAGATCATGTAACAAAACAGCTGGACCGTTGTAACTCCTATCCAGGCAGGGGGCTTCAAATTCTCTCCCAAAAATCACTTATTTATATGGACTTGAACAAGATATGGATGCATGACTTGCTTCAAGAAATAGGTCGAGAAATCGTGCGTCAAGAATCTCCAGAAAATCCTGGCAGGCGCAGTAGACTCTAGTGTCATGAAGATATTCTGAGAGTCTTCCGAGAAAATCCGGTAATGTTTCATTTTTCTTTTTCTTGAAAACTTTTAAAAATTACTGGATGTATGACACTACAATCATTTGAGAGTGTGGCGCTTTGTCATTGACTTGACAATTTAATAGCATATACATAGATTCTTGCATGAAGACCCTACCAATTTTTAGGAATCTATTTATAATGTATCTAACTTGTTTCCATGCACATAAGGGTGCGCATACAGACAAGAGTATTTTGTCTTACTGAGTGTGAATAACTCCTGATTGCAAGTTCGCTTTGGATTTCAAGGGAACAAACTCTGTTGAAGGTACTAAATTAGACATGCTTGAGCCTGAAGAGGTGTTTATAGGTAGAAAAGCCATCGAGCAGATGAAAGGGCTTAGGCCGTTTCTGGTGGGTGACATACATATATCTGGATACAGCGGGTATCTTTCAAAAGAACTTAGGTGGCTCGATGTGCATGGAAACAACTTGCCAGCAACTGTCAAGAGCTGTGATCCTGAGCAACCTAGTATTCATGATTCCAGACCCACCGAACCTGCAAAGAATGAGCAACGTCATGGTTCGATTGGAATGATCTTGTCTAGATTTAGATTTGAAGGTGCAGTATCAAGAAAATGCAGAGATGCTCTGTCAGGCTTTAAAAGTATGATGACTACCCCACACAAGCTTCCCCCGTTTTTACGTTTCGAAGGGCACATAGGTTATAGCCGCAACAATGGCAAAGCAGATTTTGACAGTGATTTCCTGTTGGTGAGATCTTCGGTATATCCTTGTCATTTCAATGGCTTTATTTCTCATCACTTCATGTTACTGGAATGCTTGCTGATCGATTTTGCTTCTCGGGTACTCAAAAAATTTGCAAAGGCAGAGCTGGTTAGTGCAACTAATAATTTCAACTATGATAATAAGATTGGCGTAGGCAGCACCGGTTCAGTGTATCGCGGGCTATTGAATGATGGGCAGGAAGTGGCCATCAAGTGGATAAATGTAACCAGAGAAAGCTTTCAAGACGATATGTTCATCAACGAGATCACAGCTCTTTGTCATGCCAATCATAAGAATCTTATTCGGATGCTGGGATTTTATGCAAGACGCAGTGAGTGCGCCCTAGTCTATGAGTACATGAACAATGGCTTGCTGTTCTACCACCTTCACTGTATTGGAAGCTCCACTTTGATGTCATGGAATGCGCACACGGTTCAAGGTGGCGCTAGAGGTCGCTCGGGGAATCGAATACTTGCATGAATTTGCATGTCCTCGAATATTACACCGAGACGTGAAGTCAGCAAACATATTGCTGGATGAAAACTGGACTGCTAAAATTTCGGATTTTGGACTCTCTCTACTTCTTGCTAAGGATGAATACGTTTTGGATGATATTGTCGTTGGCACCTTAGGTTATATCGATCCAGAATACTTGGCGACCAGTACACTATCGAGTAAGATCGATGTGTTTAGCTATGGCATGGTGTTGCTTGAGTTGTTATCTGGACGGAAAGCATATGATCGGGATGAATATGGCCAGAGAGGTCATATGATGACCGTCGTAGTTCCACACATTGATTGGGGTCAAATTGGCTGGGCTCTGGACCCAAACATGCCAATTCCGGCCACGTTCGAGATGATGGAAGTGGCAGATATAGCGTACCTCGCTAGGGATTGTGTTCGGTATGATGCTGGAAAACGTCCCTCGATGACTTATGTAGTGGACCGGCTAAGGACTGCTTTAGCTCAATGCTCATCCACGTGACAGGAAAACATCGCCAGCTTGTCTCTCGTCATTCTGTGGATGAAGGTAACCCAATATGTGATGTGTAGTCCGTAAGTTTTGAGAGTGTGCATCTGCTTAGTTTTGAGTATAATCTAATAAAGTAATGTTTTAAGGTCTAGTGATTTTCGTAGGTAGGGAACTGTGTTTCCACTTCTCGTTTGACAGCATCGAGTTCAGATTTATCTTCTGTTTGTCCGAAATAGAGAGACAAGTTCATGTTCGTTACTATACAATCAAACAAAAGATGGATGCATCGATCCTTAATAAGGCGTTGAGCTAGGACTGTACTGGTGAACCTTACAGAATATCACGATCTCGCCAAAACGAAACTGTCTCTTACAGCTCTTGTCGCTAACGACCTGTTTGGCTATTCCAAATTTTCAATAGCCTGGCCATCACTTAGAGTATTGTCCTGGACTCATTCCCAAACAAGCAGAACAATCTCCTCGAGCCCGTAATAAAATTGAAACGATTTTCCGTCAATGACTCGTGGTTAGGGCTCAAAATATTATTGTTAACGGAAAAAAATTACCTAAGAAAAAGGTTAAATGTCTAAAATTAGCGTGTTTTTGGTCGTTGACCAAATGAATCAATTTAAAGTTATAAGATAGAGGCCTATATAATAGTAATATCAAATAGAAACGATTTTCCTCTTCGCATAACCCTTTGATGAAATGCTTCACTTAAGAAGTAAGTACCAATGCTTTGTCGTTGATACTCACTTTAAGTTTCTTGAAGGATATGTAGGCCCGTTTAGTTCAGCTTTGGTAAGGGGCTTTCGAGCTCGAAAGGTTCAGCATTTAGGGAACCAACGGTTCAGCATTTAGGGAACGGAAAGCCGAAAGTTAGCATTTGGGATGCTGAAAGCCCAACGCTGGTTTTCAGCATCCCACAAATGCTGAAGCCTATTTTTCCCTTCACAAATTGCCCTCACTCAAATTTCTTTATTCCGGTTTTGCCCCTATTACTGTTCATCTTCTTCAGCGTAAGGGTGGCCAGCGAACGGCCGGCGAGGGCGGATCTGACCGGCGAAGGGCCGGCGAGGTCGCCCGACCCAGGCGACGGCCGCCTGGGGTAGGGCGACCGCCCAGGCGCCGTGGCCTGGGTCGCGCGACCTCAGCGACGCCGGCCTAGGTCGCGCAACCCGTGTGGCCGTCGCATGGGGTCGCGCGACCTCGGGCGGCCGTCGCGCGACTCGGGCGACGGCCGCTGGGTCGCAACCCAAGCCGTCGTCGCCTGAGGTCGCGCGACCCAGGCGACGGCGCCTGGGCAGTCGCCCAACCCCAGGCGGCCGTCGTCTGGGTCGGGCGACCTCGCCGGCGCTTCATCGGCCACCCTCGCCGGCCAGATCTGCCCTCGCCGGTGAAGAAGATGAACAGTAATAGGGGCAAAACCGGAATATTAAAACTAAAAATTGCCGAAACTCTTTGCAAAAAAAAATTTATCAAACACTACTTAGGCCAAACACAAAATATTTTTTATCAAATACCACTTACATTTTCCCAAGTGACTTTTACCTAAAGGTATTTGCATTCCCCCAAGTTACATTTAAAAAGCCGAACCAAACGGCCCGTAGTCTAGTTCATGATGTGCTTGCCAAATCAGCCAAACCTATTTGGTTGTCATAAATGTGGATATAATTAACCGAATGGAGTCATTTCCTATTGAGAAACACTTACCAATTACAGCTTTTCCAATCATATTTCCTTTCGTGCGTGGAATGTGATGAATTTCCTTATACATTTGAAATTAAGCCGAGTCTCATTTCCATCTAAATAACATGCTCCAAAACCATTACAAGAAAAGGAGGAAAAAAAAAAGCAAAGATAGAAGAAACCAAAAAAAAAAAATAGAAGAAAAACGGAGTCGCATCGAGTGAAGTTGTCAACATGAAATCGTCTGCCGTGAAATATGAGACTGCTGGTGATGACTGAACCGTGACGTTAGAAATTTCAAGTGATAAAGGGTCAAGGAAAAATTAATTTTATGTTCACTCAAAACTTTGGGACTACATTGATTCAATTAAAGATTAGATTTAAAATTGAAAATGCAATTTTCTCGTTGCTTGGCCATTGGCCACGATGGATAATACAATTCATGGGTCTTGCGCTCAAAGAGCGAAGGCAAAGTGAGTTACTAAACTTAATGCAAATTCATAGAAGATGATGATGGCCTGCAGTAGCTCGACGTGACTTGAGCGTGAAAGGCGTCGCCTATGTATCTACGTGTGGCTCTCTCGGGAAGTCTCGATGTCGCGCACGCGCCATGTACATGCGACTCAGGTTCGACTGGACCCAAAAACAGTTCCGCTTTCCTGTTTGTGTCGGTGGCCCAGAAAAGCCAGCCGGACCAACCGATTTGTCTGCACTTTGCAGCTCTGTCTGAGCCATGATGATGCGTCCACGGCCAGAAGAAATCCTTGCATGGTTCGATCGTCCCCTTTGACTCGTTCCCACGTCATCCTTCACTTCGCGCGTCTCGCATAAAGCAGATGGCCGTGGCCCCTCTCTCCAACCCTCTCCCATGGCCACTGCATCCTCCTCTTCCTCTTATTCATCCTCGTCTTGTGCCGCCGTCCCTCGATGGGACTACGACGTCTTCCTCAGCTTCCGAGGCGAGGACACCCGCGCCGGCTTCGTCAGCCACCTCCACGCCGCCCTCCGCCGCGTCGGAGTCCGCGTCTTCATCGACGACGAGCTCCGGCGGGGGGAGACGATCTCCCTCTCGCTCGAGCGGGCCATCGAGTGCTCCAGGATCGCCATCGTCGTCTTCTCCCCCGACTTCCCCGCCTCCCCCTGGTGCCTGCAGGAGCTGGCCAAGATTCTTGAGATGCAGGACTCGAGAGGGCAACTGGTCCGCCCGGTGTTCTTCCACGTCGACCCGAGCGATGTGCGGAAGCAGACCGGCGTCTTCGCGGCGATCATGGCGAAGCACGAGGAGGTTTTTGGTGGTGATGATTCGGAGAGAGTGAAGAAGTGGAGAGACGCGCTTCGCAAAGCGGCTAATTTGTCCGGATGGCATTTAGGCCACGGGTAATTGTCGAATTGCTGTCAGCTAATTGACTGGATTCTCTTGATTGCTGTTTGTTTTGTAGAGAATTTCTGTTAGATTAAATCAGATTAGAACCCGCTAGAATCTGTAAAGATGAAACTTGTTGCCTAAATTTAGCAGAATTGTTTGAGAAATGGAGTTTTAATTGAGTCTGCTTAGAAGAGGGAAGCAGAACTCTGTGTTTGGAACTGGAATTCTCACTTTCACAGTGTCATAGTTCAATTATATAACGCGGATGCATCATCACCTTATGCTCCTGAAGTTGCTAACGTTTGTTGTTTCGAAGTTTAAGGTGCTGAATTATAAGCCCCTTTTTGTGTTTTTTTTTTTATGGCCAAGAATTCTTGGTCTCTAATTTGCTCAACTAGCTTCGAATCATGTATACCTTACCTTACTGTTCACCGGGTATATCTCTTTGTTTAAGTACTTTAATAACTGATAACATGATACCTAGGGATAATGAAACAAATGGTCTATGAACTTTTAATTTATTTGATGTGATCCCTAAATTTTAACCCAACATATAATGCGATCCCTAAACTTTTCTTTTGTTCAATGTGATCTCTAAACTTTTGGTACATTTTCAATGTAGTCCTTGAACTATAAGAATGTTAAAATTCCTTCCATTAATTCAATATCAGGGACAATATTAAACATTTTCATATAGTCTGGGAACTAAATTGAACATGTACCAAAAGTTCAGAGACTACATTAATGCTTGACGATTCAAGTTATCAATCCAATTACATTAATGGCAGGAGGTTAATAAAGAATCTTCCCGTTTCCACAATCAATTTTGATTATACATGAGTTTTGTTCATTCATGAATAATCAGGCTTTCGATCTTTAGTATTTCCAACATTTGGTATCATAGTGTGGTTAAATCTCTGTCTTGATGAATTTTGTGAGATTTTGACTTAATTGTAAAATCGGGCAATTTAGGGCCAAGAGAGAAATTGTCGATTCCGGCCAAATTCCAACTGCCCACCACCTGGCTTCGGACCAGTACGATCGTACCGCCATGAGGAAGAAAGCCTTAAGTTAATTCGGCATATCGGTAATCGCTAGAGGCTAATTGCAAGGCGGAAGTTGCGGTAGTTAGGGTTTGCGTTTTGGTAGAATTTTGCTTGATTCGGGCCGATGTCTTGGCCTTTTTTGCCAATTCTTGGACCTATGTGATCGTGCTGGTGTGGTCTCCAAAACCCACCACTCAATTTAGTCTAAGGTGGGCTGTTGGAGCAGACCCAGGCGACAGAGACTGGAGAGCAATTGAAAAATCGCGACATGCACGCGCCCATGTTGGCCCTCAAGCGCTTACACGACATAGGCCTATGCGCTGCCTCAGGCGCATGCACGGTATGTGCCCGCGTATTAAAAAAAAAATTAGGGCGAGTATGCTCTTTTGGCAATCTTACATTTCTGCCCCCTCTCCGTGATTTTACGCTTTTGCCCTCTCTCCTCTCTGAATTTATGATTCTACCCATGGCCGATTAATTTAATATTTTTCCCTTGCCGACATTAATTTACCATTTTGCCCTTACATGCAATTTGGCGAATGTTTGTGCATGTGATAAATGTCTAGTGATCCATATACAATTTTGTTTAATTAGAGATTAGCTACGGCATCTCTAATTATTTTACATTATATATATAATGAGGATTTGGATCACATATATAAAAGGACATTGGTTGTAATTAATCATATTAATACAATTAATTTTTTACCACTAGAATTTTTTATTATTTTGATATTATTAATTAGAATGAAATAGCATATTATATTTCTTAATTTACCCACAGGGATTAAGAAAAAGATTATGATTATAGTTTCATCATATAATAATTATGAATCTATTTAAATTAGAAACTTAACCTACATGTAGTTTTTATGTTATGTGATTCATATTTTACATTGGTAAAGCATGATGTATGTTTGATTTACCTCAAATTTTGTGACATAAGCATGTATGTTTGATATGCAATTTTACAAACCGTGAATTTCTCTGAATTTGAAAATGATCTTTCTATGCTGAATGATGAAAACTATGAAGTTTGGAAGGAGTTAATCATTCTTTAATTGGGGTGCATGGATATTGATTATGCTATAAAGAAATACGGCAAAATTTCAAATAAGTACTCAAAGTGGGGTCATTTTCTAAAAAAATGGTTTAAAGTGGACATAGTGGCAAATAAAGGCCTGAAGTGACAAATCAGTTTCAAATAGGGGTCCGAAGTGTCCAAGTAGTCTCAAGTAAAGCTCTGGGTTCGCCTTCGGTCAAATGCTCACCGGCCGGCGAGCACGTCACTATTCCGGCGATCTAAACAAGGGCAATTTCGTTTTTAACTTTTTAATTTTTTTTTTATTTCTTTTATTTCTCTTTTTTTCTTTTCCTTTTTCCTTTTCTTCTTCTTTTTCTTTTCCTCTTTTCCCTCTGCCGGCCTAGCCGGGGCTAGCGAAGGTTGCTGGCCTCGAGCGAAGGCTACCCTTGCCGGCGAGGGCAACCCAGGATCGGGCGAGGGTTGCCCTCGCCTGCGTCGGGCGAGGGTTGCCTCGTCTGGGTTGAGCGGGCGAGGGCGACCTCGCCAAATCCGGTGAGAGCAACCCTCGCCCTCGCCGGATCCGGCGAGGGTCGACCCTCTCCAGATCCGTGCTTCTGGATCGCTTTCAGTCAAGAATTTGCCGACCGTTTACAAAGACTAACCATGTTTACAAAGACTAAAATTTCTCTCTGTATCCGTGCTTCTAGATCGCTTTCATGCGAATTGCGATACCCGCGTCGGATGTGACTACGGGATCAAAAAGGGGAGGGCAAGAAGAGACGAGCCATTGTCCATGCAGATTCCGAAAAGGAAGCATTCCCGCGTCTCCATTGACTCGTGCCTGCGTCTCCGTCGACTTTGCCCGCTTCCCATAAAAAAAGATGGCCATGCCCACTCTCTCTCCAACCCTCTTCCATGGCCACTGCATCGTCAGCTTCTTCTTCCCCGTCTTGTGCCGCCGTCCCTCGATGGGACTACGACGTCTTCCTCAGCTTCCGAGGGGAGGACACTCGCGCCGGCTTCGTCAGCCACCTCGACAAAGAGCTCCGCCGCAGCGGAGTACGCGTCTTCATTGACAACGAGCTCCGGCGGGGGGAGAGGATCTCCCTTTCGCTCGAGCGGGCCATCGAGAGCTCCAGGATCGCCATCGTCGTATTCTCCCCCAACTTCGCCGCCTCCACCTGGTGCTTGCAGGAGCTGACCAAGATTCTCGAGATGCATGGCTCGAGAGGGCAACTTGTCCGGCCGGTGTTTTTCCACGTTGACCCGAGCGATGTGCGGAAGCAGACCGGTGTCTTCGCGGAGATCATGGCGAGGCATGAGGATGCTTTTCGTGGTTTTGATGGTGATGGTTCGGAGAGAGTGAGGAAGTGGAGAGACGCCCTCCGTGAAGCGGCTAATTTGTCCGGATGGCATTTAGGCAACGGGTAATGGTCGAATTGCTCTCAGCTAATTGACTGGATTCTCTTGATTGCTGTTTGTTTTGTAGAGAATTTCTATTAGATTATACTAGATTAGAACTCGCTAGAATTGGTAAAGATGAAACTCGTTGCATAAATTTGGCCGAATCGTTTGGGAAATGGAGTTTCAATTGGGTCTGCTTAGAAGAAGGAAGCAGAACTCTGGGTTTGGAACTGGAATTCTCACTTTCACAGTGTCATTGTTCAATTATATAACGGGGATGCATGGAGATACGTTGTTTCACCTTATGCTCTTGAAGTTGCTAACGTTTGTCGATTTGAAGTTTAGGGTGTTGAGTTCTATCTCCCTTTTGTTTTTTTGATGGCCACGAATTAGTAGTCTCTTATTTGCTCAACTATCTTCGATTCGTGTATACCTTACCTTGCTGTTCCCCGTGTATGTCTCTTTGCTCAAGCACTTTGATAACTGACAACATAATACATATCATCACTTTTCAATTCGAAGTCAAACTCAAGGGTTGTTGTCAAACCAATTCTTGCGGCTTAATTGATTTATAAGTTCTTGGATAAGGAGGAAGGTGCTATTTCTGATAATCCTCCTCATCAGCTTATTTAGTGTAGTTTAGCAGAGGATGTGCAAAACTGTACTTGTATGGGAAGATCATTTCAATATCAACTAATTTTCTTAAAGAGCTCTAACAAGTAAATATCAACTAATTTTGTTTAGTTTTGTGGTTTAGCGGGTTGTTACATATTTTTAGTGATTGCGATTGGCAGTCTTGAATCTGAACTCATCCAGAAAATTGTTGAAGAAGTGTCAAGCAAGCTGCATCGCCAGTACTTGGATGTTGCAAAGCATCCGGTTGCTCTCGACAAACATATACAGGCTGTAAGAATGTTATTGCGTACAGAGGATGATGGCGTTCGCGTTGTGGGTATCAGTGGGATTGGCGGAATAGGCAAGACAACTATTGCTAAAGCTATATACAATATGATTGCTGATCAATTTGAAGGTAGTAGCTTTCTGGCAAATGTTAGAGAAACTTCTAAGCAGTATGGCCTACATAAACTGCAAGAAGCTTTTCTTCGTGATATTTTGGGCGATAAAACCATAAAGGTTGGCTACATTCAGGCAGGTGTAGATTTGATCAGGCAAAATCTTTGCAATAAAAGGGTTCTGTTAGTTCTTGATGATGTGGATCGCACGGCCCAACTAAGGCACTTATTGGGTGAAAGAAGTTGGTTTGGTCAGGGGAGTAGAATAATTTTAACAACAAGAGATGAAGAAGTGCTAGTCGCTCACAGTGCAAAAATCTGTAAGGTTGGTGAACTAAATTATGATGATTCTCTTCAACTTTTCAGTTGGAATGCCTTTCAGGAACCATCACCTACAGGAGATTACCAGCTTATCTCCTACGGCTTTACTCACTATGCCAAAGGTCTCCCTTTGGCTCTTATTGTATTGGGATCTTTCTTGAGTGGTAAGAGTGTTCATGAATGGGAATGTGCATTAGAAAGATTGAGAGCCATTCCTGACGGCCAGATTTATGAGATTTTGAAAATTAGTTTTGCTGGATTGGAAACTAATGAACGATCTATCTTTCTTGACATTGCTTGTTTCTTTAATGGGGAAGATAAAGATCATGTAACAAAGCAACTGGACCGTTGTAACTACTATCCAGACAGGGGGCTTCAAATTCTCTCCCAAAAATCTCTAATATATATTGACTCGAACAGAATATGGATGCATGACTTGCTTCAAGAAATGGGTCGAGAAATCGTGCGGCAAGAATCTCCTGAAAATCCTGGCAGGCGTAGTAGACTCTGGTATCATGAAGATATTCTGAGAGTCTTCCGGGAAAATTCGGTAATGTTTCGTTTTTCTTGTTCTTGAAAACTTTTAAAAATTACAGGATGTATGACCCTACAATCATTTGAGAGTGTGGCGCTTTGTCATTGACTTGACAATTTAATAGCATATACATTGGTTCTTGCATGAAGACCCTGCCAATTTTTAGGAATCTATTTATGATGTATCTAACTTGTTTCCAAGCACATAAGGATGGCATACAGACCAGAGTATTTTGTCTTACTGAGTGTGAATAACTCCTGATTGCAAGTTCACTTTGGATTTCAAGGGAACAAACTCTGTTGAAGGTATTAAATTGGACATGCTTGAGCCTGAAGAGGTGTTTATGGGTAGAAAATCCATCAAGCAGATGAAAGAGCTGAGGCTGTTTCTGGTGGGTGACATACATATATCTGGATGCCCCGGGTATCTTTCAAAAGATATTAGGTGGCTCGATGTGCATGGAAACAACTTGCCAGCAACGGTGGAGAGCTGTGATCTTGAGCAACCTAGTATTCATGACGAGAGCTGTGATCCTGAGCAACCTTGTATTCATGATTCCAGTCCCACCGAACCTGCAAATAATGAGCAACATCATGGGCCGATCAAAAAGATCTTGTCTAGATTTAGATTCGAAGGTGCAGCATCAAGAAACTGCAGAGGTGCTCTGTCAGACTTTGAAAGTATTATGGCCACCCCACTCAAGCTTCCCCAGTTTTTACGTTTCGAAAGACACAATGGTTACAGTCGTAACATTGGCAAAGCAGACTTTGACATGGATATGCTGTTGGAGGAATATTCGGTATATCCTTGTCATTTCATTGGCTTTATTTCTCATTTTATTTTACTGGAATGCTTGCTGATAGATTTTGCTTCTCAGGCACTTAAAATAGTTTCAAAGGCAGAGCTGGTTTGCGCAACAAATAACTTCTCCGATGATAATAAGATTGGAGTAGGTAGCGCCGGTATAGTGTATCGGGGGATATTGGGTGATGGGCAGGAAGTGGCCATCAAGGGGATAGATGTAACCCGAAAAGTCATCCCCGATCGCAAAACTGACACATTCATCACCGAGATCAAAATTATTGGTCATGTCAAACATAAGAATCTTGTTCGGTTGTTGGGATTTCATGCAAGTTATAGTAAGTGCGCCCTAGTGTATGAGTACATGAACAATGGCTCGCTGTACTGCCACCTTCACACTATCGGAAGCTCAACTTTGATGTCCTGGAATGCGCGGCTCAAGGTGGCACTGGATGTCGCTAGGGGAATCGAGTACTTGCACGAATTTGCAGGTCCTCAAATAGTACACCGAGACATCAAGTCATCGAACATATTGCTAGATGAAAACTGGACTGCAAAAGTTTCGGATTTTGGAGTCTCTGTACGTCTTCCTAAGGGTGAAGATTACTTTGAGGATTCTGTTGTTGGCTCCCTTGGTTATTTGGATCCAGAATACTTCAATACCTCAAGACTAACAGCTAAGAGCGATGTGTATAGCTATGGAATTGTGTTGCTTGAATTGTTATCTGGACGCAAAGCATTCCAAAGGGATGAAGATGGCCCGTTAGGTCATATCACGGAGGTCGTAGTTCCACGCATTGTTGAGGAAGAAATTGGCAAGGCTCTGGACCCAAACATGCCAATTCCGGCCACTTCCGAGATGATGGCAGTGGAATATATGGCGTACCTCGCCGTGGATTGTGTTCAGATAGAAGCTGGAAACCGGCCCTCGATGACTGATGCAGTGGACCGCCTAAGGAGTGCTTTAGCTCAATGCTCATCCACGTGACGGGAAAAACATCACCAACTTGTCTCCACTCATTCTGTAGATGAAAGGTAACACAATATCTGATGTATAACCGATAAGTTTAAATTCTGAGAGTGTATATCTGCCGAATTTTGAGTATAATCATTATAAATTAGTGTTTAAAAGGTAGAAAGATTTTCATAGCCTTGAGTTCAGATTTATTTTCTCTTTGCCCGAAGTAAAGAGACGAAGTTCATGTTCGATACTATAGGATCAAACAAAAGATGGATGCAATAAAATCGATCCTTGATAATGTGTTCAACAAGATGGTACCGTACTGGTGCACCAGACAGAATATCATGAACTCACCAAAACCAAACCGTCTCTTACATCTCCTATCGGTAACGATGCGTTCAGCTATTCTAAATCTCCTGTCGCTTGGAGAATTGTCCTAGACTCTTTCCAAAACAGCAAAACTCTCTCTCCCTCCCTCTTTTGCGCATGTGAGAGAGAATCGAAATGATTTTCCATCAACAAAAGGTGATTAGGGTCCAAAGTACCATTATTAACATGATACTTTACCTAAGAAAAAGAATAAATCTCTTAAATTAGTGTGTTTTTTATCGTTAACCGGACGTAAACGATTTTCCCTCGTCACATAACCCTTTGATAACATCCCATTAGAGCAAGAGTCTAATCTACCATGAAATGCTACACTTAAGAAGTAAATGGTAATGCTTCATAGTTCATACTCTTTAAAGTCTATTTCATGATTTGCTTGCTAAATTAGCCAAACCTAGACTTAAACCCCCGGTTCGGTTGTCATAAATGATGGATACAACTTGCCAAAATGTAGTCATTTCCTAGTGATAACACTTGCCAATTACAGCTTTTCCAATCACAATCCTTGTCGAGAATATATTGTGATGAGTTTCCTCGCACGTTCAACATGAACCCGATTCTTAATTCCACCTAAATTACATGCTCCAAAATCATAATCAGTAGGATCATCAAAGCAGTTCGAATTGCGAGAACCTAACTCCTATACACTCTTCACGCGTGTCTCAAAATAAATAGAATGCATCGATGCATAAGTTTGAGATAATAATGTTCTTTTTTAGGAAATCGAGGTTCGATTCGACGCAAGTTGTCCAAGCCCGTGTCGGAAATGCTGCCTCTCGCCAAAGTCCGCGGGAGCCCAGACCGTGTCGCTTGTCGCATGTCCGGTCACTAAGATAATCATTTCATTGAGGAGACTCCACGTGTTAATAACGATATGCCGAAAAAATCTATTGGTCCTCGAAATCAATCAAATTCAAATTACTTCATGCCTTGGTGCCACGATTGCAGCCGCGCCACAGCTCTCCTCTTATCGCAAGTGCCCGACCACCCTTGTCGGTGCCTGGCCGGCGGCACCCGTCTTCCCTCCCTCTTCTCTCTCCACATGAGGGTTTGAGCTCTCGTTTTTTTGCTTCCCAATTTTCTAGTACTTTGATTCTCGTCAACGTCACGGGCCAAATTGATTAGAAAGCCGAGAAGATCAATATCGCCCTTAAAAAGCCACCTAATTGATTAGAAATCCAACGAAAGGGACTCGTGTGGTTCACATCCACCCCGGCTGTGTGTCGACACACATACCTACACGCCAAACTCCCTTGATGTGAACTTCCACGCAAGTCTTTGCAAATCGGCCAAAAAAGCTTGAGATAGAACGGAAGAAATCAAGATGGATAATAACACAAATGGTCTGTGCTCAATATGTAACGTGATCCCTAAACTTTATTCTAACGCGCAATACGATCTCTAAATTTTACTATAACGTGCGACGTGGTCCTTGAACTTTTAAATTGTTCGATGTAATCTCCGAATTTTTTTGTACATATTGTAATCGACGAGACATCTAACGAAAGGGACTCGTGTGGTTCACGTCCACCCCACCCGTGTCTACACACATACCTACACAACAAACTCCTCCTTGATGTTGAACTCCCGGGCGCTGTCTTTGCAAAACAGCAACAAGAGGAGCTGGAGATCAGAATGGAAGAAATGTCGACACACTGGGGGACGTGGTGGGGGGTGCATCGTTCATGGTCGCCTCATAAATGCCAACAATGGACAAGCCAGCCAACTCCCATTAGAAAAAATATCGAAATTTAATGACATCGTGGGTCACGGTCAAATTTGGGAACCCCTCCCATTGATTATTGTTACTTTTTGCAGCTTTTCCTTATTAAAAAAGCGATGGAATGAATAAATAAAAGGAAATGAAAATTTGGTGGCCACAAGTTTCCCACGGCTGCAAATCAGCCAGTGGCCACTCGTGGGGTTGGCTGGGGCCCCCACCGTCGCACGGTTGGATCCACCAGATTTCTCGGTTTTGATTTGAGAAGATCCTAATCCAAATAATAATTAATAATTAAAAAAAAAGAGAGAGACATGAAGACCTTCGTATCTTCAGGGCCTCGGCTCTCCTCCACCAATCACCTCCGTGCTTCGCGGCACGGCACCAGGAAATTATTTTTTTAATTTTCATTTCCCAGTTCCACACGAATATTGAAAAATGAAAAAGATAATGCACCCTGCACCCTTCCACATTAGCACATTATAAATTCAACTAATGATGATGATGATTCCGTGTCCTTACGTTTTAATTTAGTTGACTATATTTAAAAGAATATATCTTTTTCAAAGTACTTTCAAATTGAAAGAAATACATCACTACGAGCTTATCTTCTTCTTTTTTTCCGGTCGTATTGACGAAGCATAATATATCACGTTGACAATTACTTAATGCAACGATTAAATTAACTAAAGAAAGGAAAAAAAGTTAAAATGGGTCAAAAATTGTAAAATCTACAGTTTTGAGGGATTGTAGGTTTTTTTTTCCTCGAAAAAGAAGCATATGCCTTTCTAAAATTGTATTCGACGAGTCTTGTCGAAAGTCCTCTGATCATAATTTTTTTTTAGATTAAGACTCCGTTTGTTTTACGGGAAATAACTTTCTAAAAATATTTTCAGGATTTTTCGGTGTTCATTTCACGGAAAATAACTTCTCACGAAAAACGTTTTCTTTTCCACGGACAAAATGCCTTCACTTTTGAGGAAAATGATTTCCTCTTTTCATTTTTCTTCTTTTTCTTCCACCATTTGTTTTCAATATTTTTTTTTCCTTCTTCTTCCTTAGCTGATCGCCGGCCAAGGTGGCAACCAGCGACTAGCGAGGCTCCAGCTCGCTTGATCCAACGCGGGCGAGCTCACCTAAGGCCGGTCGGGGGAGCTCAGGCCTTGCCAAATTCGACGAGCTAGAGGTCGCCAAACGTTGGCGAGGCTCTGGCGATCTTGGGCAAGGCTCAAGCTCGCCGGATCTGTCAGCATCACCCGAGCTTGGGCCTCGCTAGATCCGGCGAGCTGGGCGAGGCTCGAGCCTTGCCTGAGGTTGCCAGACATCAGTGAAGCTCTGGCGAGGCTCGAGCTCGCCCGCACCGGATCAGGCGAGCTAGAGCCTCGCCACAGGCCGGCAAGGCTTGATCTCGCCGACTTGCGGCGAGGCTTGAGTTGGCCAGTCGCCGGCTGCCACTATGGTTGGCGACCGACTGAGGAAGAAGAAGAAAAAGGAAAAAAAAAAGAAAAAAAATATTTTTAATGACTTCCGGGAAAATTAAAAAATATTTTTCGAAATTTTTTTAGATTTCAATCGAACACCGGAAAATTGTGTCATTTTTCAGAAAAATGACTTTCGAAAAAATATTTTTCATAAATATAATATTTTTCGCGAAATGAACGGAGCCTAAATGATAATTCCTTTTCTCAATAAATTAGCAAAAAAAGGAGGAGAAGAAGAAGATCTAAATAGAGAAAGTGGGGCTTTGACTAGACCTTGTTATTCCAAGAGGTGGGTGAAATCATGGAGACATGGAAGACACTATTGTAAAAGTAAAAATATAAAAATGCATGAGAGATTAATGACCTGATGACAAATTTTTTGTCATTTTGTAATAATATTTCAACCACTATTTAATTTGGGAACCTACAATTAATTATTGTTAATTAACAACAGTCAACTAATCTCTCTCTCTCTCTCTCCCGTGTTCTTGGCTACTTTAGGCAAAATCCTTAAAGGAACCCATGTTTCTGTTCTCTCTCTCTTCTCTCTTCTTCTTCTTCTTCTTCTTCTGCAATCGCTCCCGTGACCCGCCATTGGTTCGTCACTGTAGGTAGCGACCCCCGAGCTCTTTTCCCTTTAGCTCGGCTTCTGCTTCTGCTTCGGCTTCGGCTTCTTGGCTCTCCTAGGTTCCTGGAGTTCCCGAGGAAGGAAGAGAAAAACCAAGAACCGGAGGATGAAGATACAGTGCGACGTGTGCGAGAGAGCCCCGGCGACGGTGATCTGCTGCGCCGACGAGGCCGCCCTCTGCGCCAGGTGCGACGTCGAAGTCCACGCCGCGAACAAGCTCGCCAGCAAGCACCAGAGGCTCCTCCTCCACTCCCTCTCCGCGAAGCTCCCCGTCTGCGACATCTGCCAAGTGAGTCCGTCGCTTCGGTTCGATTTCTCAGTTTCTCTGTCGATTCGTCTTCTTTTTCTTTTTTCGTTTCTTTTTGGGGTGGTTCATGTTGGAGCATGCATGAGATTGAGCGACGTGGCGATGTTCTGGCTGCTAAACTTATGCCTTAAACGCATCGCTTCTTCTTCTTCTTCTTCTTCTTCTTCTCTCTCTCTGTCTCTCAAGCTATGAGAGAGCTTATACTGGGGATCTCTGTGACTGGTTGTTGTTGAGGAAAGAGGGTTCACAAGCATGTTTTGGTACCTGGGTCATGTGTAGATTCAGTTGATTTGGGTCATTGATAGGTTAAAAAGATTTTTTTTTTATCAGCATCGGCTTCAGCTTAACAGAGTAATAATGCCCAGGGGGTTGTGTTCTGATGGTTGGGTCGAGTGTTGATGTGTGTTTGATTTCAAAGGTTGGTCAAAGTTGAAACTTTTTTATAGCCACATACTCGTAGAAAGGGAGAGAAATGAGAATTATGCCTCAGAAAGCAGGAGAGATTGCGGTATGGTTCCTCTGTTTTCCAGATCGAAGGTCATGCTTTGACTAGGAATAGTATGGGGGAAGTAGCGGCGCAAACCGCGAGCTCGAATCGATCTTTTGCCGGAATCATCGGCTTTCTGCTCTGGGAGAGTGGATATCTGTTTGATTGTGGCCAGATTTTAGGACCTGGAGGTGACTGGATCGAGTTGGGGGGGAACAGCCTCTAGCAAAACATTGATCCGACCCAAAGTGGTCCGACCCTTCCCCGGATCATCGCTGGACTTCGTGCATCAAGGGCAGTTATGGAAAGATTTTTAGGAAGAAAGTGAACGGTACCATGAAGATGCTCATTTTTACCCTTAAGAAGAAAAATGTATTGGACTAGTTGCTTGTTTGATGTGCTTTAGAATCAATGAAACATGAAGATACGCTAAAATGGATCACAGCAAGCATCAAATGAGTGTATGAGAAACCTAGCATGGGGCAAAGTAGAAATATGGCATTTGATACAGTGTCTTCGATTAATTGAAAGAAGATTGTGATGCAAGTCGGTTATTGTTAGTGCTCTCTCTCATCATGACTACATTGCTGTACAGGAGAAGCCAGCTTTCATATTCTGCGTGGAAGACAGAGCTCTCTTCTGCAAGGATTGCGACGAACCAATTCATCCCGCCGGAAGCCTGTCTGCAAATCACCAGAGGTTACTGGCAACTGGAATCAGAGTCGCTCTTAGCTCTAGCTGCACCACAGATGCTGAGAAGATTCAATCTGAGCCACCGAGCCGGAATGCACCTCATACGTCGGTGAAATCGCCCCAACAGCAAGCTTCCAGTATCACGCCTTCATGGGGTGTTGTTGATGAACTGCTACAGTTGTCAGATTTTGAATCCTCTGACAAGGTAAGAATTACAATGTTAATACTGGACCTTCATGTGCTTGCACGGTCTTATTTTTACCTAAAGAACCTATAATTACTCAAATGGAAAGCCACAACCTGCTGTCCGATGATCATGAAGCCCCAAAAATCTTTGAAATTCTTGTTCACGTCGTTATTCTCTTTGCTCTACTGTGCGGTCTGCAAGAGTCATAAGCATGACCACTGATTGAAATTCTTGCTTGAGGACCAGAAAGCGTTTATCATATGACTGGATCAAATATGTGATATTTTCTTTGAGAGATTTGAAGGTAGAATTGCATGTGCTATAGATGTAGAACGAGTTTATGTTTCTGTAGCAAGTACAGCAAAGTTTATTCAATTACAGGACTACATCCTTCTTATGTTGGAAATCATATGCTATATCACATACATGTCTCAAATAAGTATTTGATTTATGTTGCAACTGGGATCATTGAAATTAATGTTATCTTGGGGAATGGCAGACATCTTCCTCTCACATTGTTCTGGCTCCAAAAACTAACAATAACCTTTATTTTTGCAGAAGGAACAACTCGAGTTTGGTGAGCTAGAATGGCTCGCTGATATGGGTCTCTTTGCTGATCAGCTTCCTCAAGAAGCCCTAGCAGCAGCTGAAGTTCCTCAGCTCCCATTGCCATACTCGAGCAACTGCACTTCATACCGAACCACAAAATCCCAGATGCCTCACAAGAAGCCAAGGATTGAATACGTAGACAATGACGATGAGTTTTTCACCGTTCCCGATCTTGGCTGATGAGAAAGGGATACTGATGCATCCTTTCTGCACAGAAATATGTGTATCTATCTACATATATTTGTAGGCATCTACTTATGTGTAATGAAGGAACCTTAGATTGAGAATCGTCTCGTGATGTGTGGGGATTAACTGCGTCCTCTCATTTTTTGGGTCTTCTTGTAATATCCTTTTTGTGATCTTTTGGAACTACAAATCAAATGGTCCATCTTGTTTGGTTTTTGAAAGTTGCTCGGTGTAAATCTCACCCCTTAAAAGTCATCCAATAGTAGTTCTTTCCATCAACATAATCCTTGACTGTTATTTGAACTCGTGGACGAAATTATTACCATTGAGAGATGATGCTAATGCTTGGCTTGAGAATGGTAATTGCGTTCCTTGGTTTTAACAAGCTAAACTAACTTGCATTTCGGGAAGAGTCGACAGCAACCACCAGAAAAGACTTCCACTTGCTTCTTTATCTTTTAATGTTCAACTGTCAATCCACCAACCATTTTTAGAGAAAGTTGCTCGGTGTACCTTATCTGCTTCATCAACTCGGGTAAAAAGAAAATGATTGGCTGCCAGTGTTTTGGCGTAGCTTTACCATTTCAAATAGACTTCACTCTTCGGAACACTCCTGTGAGCCTTAATTTGGGCTATGTCAAGGACATCCTTTCGGCTCGATAAAATAAAAAAAGAACATCCTTTCGGCTCAAATGGCAGAAAAGAGATTATTTCCCTAGAAGGATAAAAGAGAGATGTGCGTGGATTGAATAGCTTCTCCTCCTGGTTGGATCGAGCTCGACACCGATGGGGCCTCTAAAGGCAACCGGGGTCCAACTTCCGTAGTTGGAATTCTCCACAATGAGTCAACCAACCGACTTGCTGGTTTTGCCCAACATGAAGCAGTGTGCTCTTCGTTAAAAGCTGAACTTTGAGGTCCTTCTGGACCTTAAACGGCAATCTCTCTAGGCATTTCCAAAATTATAGTGAAGGTCGACTTCCAAGCGACAATTGCACTACATAAGAAAACAACTATCTCTCGCTATTTTGGCGACATCCTCGCCCTTTGAATTTGGAAATGTTAAAAATACTTTCAATAAGTTAGAATCCTTCATACTTTTAGGGAAGGATATTTGTGCAGATTAATTAGCAAATTGGATTATTCAACCCTAACCCTGCAATGTAAATGCCATTCCAACATTAGATAGGCTACCGATAGGTTCCCTATTTATAGGAGATCAGTCTGGTTTAAGATTTGTTAGGCACGTGTTAATGTAATACTCGGGCTTTGCCCCTTTTCTTACCCAACATATATAAGATTTTCCAATATCGACATAGTCCACTATCACGACTGAGGAAAATTGTGTACTATCATTTCTGGTACAACGTTCCGTGATTAAGAATACATCACTAACGCTTTTGTCTACTCTTTCACTAACCAAGAAGTTGAAGAAATTCTCTACAGCCATCGAATCCGCAGCTTCAGTTCAATCAGGTGGCACAACTACTAAACCAATGCAAATCGTACTCGAGGGAGCAACAGAGACAACAAGATTTAGCAACCAAATGAATTAAAGCAACAGCTAGATTGCCAGCCTCTATAACCCTTGAGAATCTGCTAGAGACGTTTTCTACATTGCTTCTCAGAATATGACACTACAAGATTCATCAATTAGAAAAGCCAATTGACACTGATATTGCCAAGCCATATGAAGAGCGGAAACTGAGCAAGGGCAATAAAGAGCAACAGATAGTGGTGCCTGCTCGAATCATAACTCCTCACCTCCGCAAACAGAACTCGCTTCATGGTCTTCACCAGAAAGATTCCCATGCACAAGCAGGTCCATGGCATCAGCACAAAGTACACGTATCTCAACACAATCTTCCCAAGAACTGCCAAGCACAATCCTGTGAAAGTATAACCAGCGTACGCCACAATGTCCAGCAACGGTGCCTCACCAGTACCCAATGACATTAATGTTACTTTTAGCAGTGCTACTTGCATACACCAGCCTAGCGATCCTTTGACAAACAGCCAGTTTAAGGCTTCAGGGCTAAACCTGCAAATAAGTGATTCATGAAAAAAGTGAGGGAAAGAATGCGTAGGTTCAGCAGCAAAACAATTGTGAGAACGGGAGACCCTCGGAAGATATTAAATTAAGATCTAGAAAAGAATCTGGAAACTCACTCCTTCCATTATCACAGCATTCAAAATGGCCAACGGGCGCAAAAGTAGAACAAGAAATACCAATTTAAACATGCTTTAGCTACCTACTTTGTCCTGTGCCTCAAGCAAAGAGCAAGAAGTTCCAATTAACTCAGAATAAAAACACAGTGGGTAGAAGCCCAATAAAATAAGAGTTAAAGCAGAAAGGGGAGTACCATGAACCATGAAGAAATTATGTCTGACATTTTCCAATATCACAACTGAAAAATGCTAGCTCGTTTCAATCAAAACGATAACATTGTAACGAAAAATGTGTGCACCTTCTCTGTACTCATGGCAACCTCTTTCCATGTTTTTCAAAGAATGCTTTGGAAAGATTGTCGCTGCAAAGATTGCTTTCTGTGGTGTAGATTGGTTTTCATTTTCATCTGATATATGGCTTTCCAATATAAGCCAAGGTGTGGAAAAACTTCAATGTCGAAATGAATAAACTTGTCTATGAAGGTTTATTCATAGCTAAGCATAAGAAACATCTTCATTAAATTTTGTCCTAGAATGACACTACGAGTACCAAGAGATCAACAAAACTGGGAGTAAAAGTAGCACTAGGACCAGTCATTTGATGAGAATAACTCTAGCAAACAAGCGATCTATTCAGTGCAAGATACAAACTCTTTATCACTTACTTCCCCTGAAGACCCAACAGCAGGCCAGCAAGAACAACGTAAGTACCAAATGCCATAAGCGGAATGTACAAATCTGGAGCATTAATATCATATATCGGGGGCTTATATGACAGCCTGCCTCCCACTGGCTCAGTAATTCGTGTCCAGTGGCCCTGTGGAAATGGTATATGGTGGAAAAATTGTAAGTAGTCTGAAATTTGAGTGCAGGTGCAGCAATTAAGTTTGATGCGATGTTAGGGCTCACCCTATGGAGGAATGGAAACAAAACCACCTTCAACTTGTTCCTCACATATTGTTCATTCACTTGGAAATAGTACTGGGGATCAGAAAAATACCTGCTAATCTGTCGTCAAGAAAGGATTGATCATACTGTTTCAGTGAAACGAGAAAAAAGAACGATATAACGATTGACTATTAAAAACTATATCTGCAGATTCTCACTCATCTAAAGACATCCAAAATTGCTGCATCAGTAGGGAAAAGCACCAAATGCGATATACATGGTTTAACTGATATTCAGACTAACCAAAGCATTCAAAGAATTGTTTATCCACTTCCCAAAGAAGTTAAGCGCCAAGCGGTACATTAATGTAAATGAAGAATACAAATTCAAGGAACTTCATTATCTTCATAAGAAAATTATTCCTTTCGATATTAGTGATGGAGCCTCTTTGCACTTATAATTTAAAGCATCAAAGTACCAGTGTAACAAAGCAATTCAGTATATTATGTGCTGCAAAATTCACATATTTAAGAACTAAAGTGCAAAGGCAATCAAGTAAATCACAGACAACTGAATGATCAGGCTCCTGGGGAAGCCTGCTCAAGCCATGAGATAAGTCCTGAAGTGCAAACAGAGCGAATTCAACTAATACGGACAACTTGGTCAAGAAAAACGGACTTCTGCATAATATAGGTTACTGCCCAAGAAGCAGAGAATCGTCGCACATCAAATACTTTGCAAGAAGCAACCAGGTTTGTCGCCTGCTCTGTTCTCCTTTTGTTTTACTTCTTTGTTTGTCTTTTCTTCACATGGTGTTTAGGGAAGAGTGTGGTTTACCTCTTGCCCTTAACCACGTACTCAATTTGGCAAATTTTCTCTTCATCAAAAGACAAATATATACAACCTCCAGGGTGCTATATTGATGATGAAATTTCAAAAAGCATAGCCCGTCCTTCCTCATAAAGGTATTCAATGGCAATGCACGACATAACATGAACAAGCTAACTAGCATCATTCAGCTTGTCACTCACAGAATACAAATGAATGTATAGGTGAAGCCTCATACTTACATTACTTTGCACGTACTCAGAGCTAGATCCTAAAATTTTTCCTCCATAAGCACCAAGCCCATTACGGATAAGTCCTGAACCAGCACCATAAAAAGCATTGCCAAATGGGGTGGGCTGAGGATTTGTTGGAGGTATGGGAACCCCGCCAGGCTGTGCGGCCGGATTGTTATACATTACTACAAATTGACATACAATTAAGAGAATTGGAAAGAAAAACAGTCAGAACAAAATGGGCAGAATAAGTAGAAGCCGATGTGATGATAAATAGATGCAATCATGTCCTTCACCGCTCTTGTAATGCTAGCTCATCCCACCAACCTTAAAAATCTTAAAGAACTCGCACATTAACACCAACAGTTATGTTGAAATAGACTTCCTATAAAAATTGTCGAACTACCACAAAAAGACAATAATGCAGCGCTTAATCATTGATATCAAATGCGAAAATTTACAATCATCAGGTGATCCTTCAAAAGGACTAGAACTACGGCTAAACATCAACAGAAGTATTCTATCTCAAGCTCTCAGAAACTGATACAGCCATCAAAGCCAGCATAAAAGTAAAATAATCACGAGACACACACAGAAGAGCAGCTGATAACATATATACAGAGACCAGCACCGGGAAGTACACAGTTATCCCAGTAAAAACCAACTAAATAATTTTGAATGGACTGCCAGCTTTGATTTTACAAGCAATCAAACAAGAAATGGGAGGCCCTGCTTTATTGAGGATTGCTGCTTTCTGAAGCATTCTGGTAAGCAAGTAGAGGTGTGGATCTCTAGACTGTTCAGAACAGTTTGAAGGAAAGGACTAGTTCCGCCTATAAAAAAGAAGGAAAGGAATCAGAGGAGGACCTGCTGCTGCGCTGCCAACTTACATCATCTCATCAGCATATGGCGCATCTTCATCAGGGGTGAAGTACATCATGGAGAAAACAGTCAAGGGACTGATCAGATGCTAACAGAGCAGGAACATGCAGATTGACAGAACATTTAGGAAGGTGACGACACATTTTTGCCTCTGGAACATTTTCCTTAAACTGAAGGAGCATTGATGCTGAAGCTTCACAAATCCAGAAACTGAAGGATTTATTTCTGTAGAGACACTCAGGCTGATCTTTTTTGTTTCCTTATACTGCTACTAACAAAGCAATGCATACTTATTGTATTCTTAATTTTCAAATGAAGTCCATTCAGATTTTGAATTAATCCGAATTAGAAAAGGAACGACTCGAAAGAAGATAAATCTGTCCTCCCTACCTCTCTAACCAAACCCAATGTATTTGTATGGCAGTTGAAATTGAGCAAAAGCACTCAATATAATACAACTCCATGATATTAACAATTATATGGGCCACAGGTTTATTGAAGCAAAATGTTTGTTAAGATGTCAACTTACTTATTGGCATTCTTAATAATAAAATGACTAAACAGGTCCCCATGATTTTCTTCATAGTTATCAAGCATATCCAACATTATCAACAAGGTCCTGAGGTCCTCTTACACGCAAAAGGAGAAGATTTGAGAGGACCAAAAATCCTTTTATGAACTTTATTTCATTCAGAATATCATCAATTCCTCTCGGCAATCTCTCGCAACTTAAAAGTTTACTTCTCCAATTTTTAGCCAGTTTGTACTCAGTCAAACCTAATCCCCAGCTTCAACAACAAAACCTTTGTCAGCAATCCTCAGCAAAAGTCCTAGGAAACATCTCCACATGACCTACTCTCTTTACTCGAGCCCGCCATCTCCACATTGCTAAGGAACACCTACCGCGCCGTGACGCACGACCCTTAACCGCCGAAACCCCCATTTCCCAACCTTCATTGCGGTAAGTCCGACAGCAAAAAGCCCACTAAGCTTTCCACAACCCGCCCTCCTTATCCCTTAAAAAAAGGGCCTCGCATAGCCAACAAACATCAAGCATTATCTTTCCCCACAGGAAAAACCTAAAGCACATCGCCGAATAGCCATCAGGGTAAATCCTCAACAATCTCTCCCGCTCAATCTAGTCACCACCAAAAGAGCACCCATTTATCGCAATAACCAGCACTCTCGACCTCGACCGGCAGTACTCCCACAGCCCTAATAGACTCTAACCTCCATAGCTCCTGAACTCTATCACCCACAAGGAATCACGCAAGCTCAAACAGCCTCGAAGGAGCAAAATTTCGCCGAACGATCGAACTCGTTCTCGCAGCGAACCCAGAGCCTAAAACCAAGGGCGAAATGGCACGACGACGATCATGAAATTCCGGGAAAAAAAAGAGCAAAAACGCTGCGAAATCCATGTACGACGCGGGACACGCATTGACAGAATCCGGCACATACGAAGACGAACTCGAGATTCGAATCAACAGGAAAAGAAGAAGAAGAAGAAGGAGAGAGAAAGAAGGAGGAATCGAACGAACCTCGATCTCGACCTCGAACTCGAACTCGAACTCGGATTTTGCAGAGAGTTCGCGAAGGAGGGAGCAGATCAGATCTCAAAGCTTTGGAGAGTGGAGTCCCCCGTAAGAATCGTCGGAGGGAGGAGGCGAAGAAGATGGTGACGGTGAAAGAAGACTTAAAAAAAAAAAAAAGGACTAAAAAAGGCCGGGTGACACGTGTAATTAGATTTTTCGAAAGGTGGTTCCTTATTATTTTTTTAAAGGAAAAAAACCACCAAAACTTTTGATCATTGCATTATTTGCATTTTTTTGACACAAAACTTTCTTTTTGTGACAATTTATCTGTATTTAGTCATGTAGGCATTTTCGTCTTTTCTTTTTTTTTTTTTTTTTTTTTTTCCTTTCCGGCGAGGGGGCCTCGCCGGCGTCGGCTCAGCCGGATCCGGCGAGGGGGCCCTCGCCGCGTCGAGCGAGGGCGGCCCTCGCTAGATCGCGAGGGCGGCCCTCGCCGGCGTCGGCGAGGTTCGCCGCCCGGGCGAGCGAGGGCGGCCCTCGCCCGACTCGGCGAGGTCGACCTCGCCGCGTCCGCCCTCGCTCGCCCAGGCGAGGGCCGCCCTCGCTCGCCCGGGAGGGCGACCCTCGCCGGCGTCGCTCGCCCGCGAGGGCGAACCTCGCCGACGCCGGCGAGGGCCGCCTCGCGGATCTCGACGGCCGCCCTCGCTCGACGCGGCGAGGGCCCCTCGCCGGATCCGGCGAGGCCGGACGCCGGCGAGGCCCCCTCCGGAAAGGAAAAAAAAAAAAAAAAAAAGAAAAAGCGAAAAAGACGAAAATGCCCATGGACTAAATACATTGGGTAAATGTGTCACAAAAAGAAAGCTCGAGGTTTTTGGTGTCACAAAAAAAGTTCGGGGTAAATGTGTCACAGATGGCAAAGTTTGGGGTTTTTGGTGGTTTTTTCCCTTTTTTAAAAAAATTCTTCAGTATTTTCAAAATTCGACAAATACGTATTATCAGTGTCGGTTACTCATCAAGAATCCATAATTAAAAATCTCCAACTCTAAGACACAAAAAATAGAATCTCGAAATGGATATAAATAGATATTTTCGGGAGAGAGAATTCACAAAAAAAGCATTGAAAAAAATATTATTAAGGATTAATATCATAAAGAAATCACAAATTATGCCCACTATATTTAGAAAGTTCTAGTATTTCTTTTATTCTCACATAAATGTTTTACTTTTCGGTAAGATGAAATTAGAAATCTGCTCGCCCATTCGAGTGACATTTATAGAACCTCTTAACCGAACGAAATTGAACAAATTGCTTAAAATTTAATATGGAGAACATACATATGAAGAATATAAAATCACCACGAAGAAAAAAAATTACCTAAACGGAGAAATAATTTTTTTAATAAGAAAGGCACTTATCGCAAGGATTTATAGTTTTGCTTTCTCGTGTTATCTTAGAAGGCAAACGGCACAATGGAAGAAGTTGCCTTTGTTTAGAAAATAATTTCCATTAAAAAATTTATTGAAATAAGTTAAGGATAAACCAATAAGAGTCAAGACAATTAAACTGATTAAATGCGGCCTTTCGAAAAAATCAATAAATATATAATTGATTAATCTCACGAAATAAGGTACTTTGTTAATAAAATAAGGAACTAATCCGCGACATATATGCGATCATATGATTTCTTCATACCTCTTTGCGACAATTATTAATCAAGTTTAGTGCTCTCCACGCCATGGCTCTGGTTGTGAAAAATAAAATAGAATGTCAAACTACGCATCAAAAGTAAATTAGCTTTTAGAAATTTTTGTGTAATTGATATTAAAAAAATTGGGTAAATAGCATTCCAAGAAATTATAAATGATTTTACATGTTGATATTTAAGAAAAAAAGTGAAATTGCAACTTCTATGAATTTTTTCCAAAGGAAAATCGAAATTAAACGGTCATTGTGTTGCCTAGCAATTTCCGCCGCCGCCGTCACTTTTCGGCCGCCGGAGCTCGCGCTCGCACTTTTCGAAGCGGAGCGTCGATCATGGAGGCCGCGGAGTTCGACGAAGCGCTAGCTCTAGCGGTGTTGGAATCCGCTCTTACCCATGTCCAGTGGCGGCTCAAATCTTCCTCCAAGCGCCGTCTCCAAATAGGTTCTCCTTCTTCATCTCTGTCCCCCGACCCTGTCGTGTGTGTTTGTTCTTCCGTTTGATCTGGTTGTTCATAGTTTTTTGCTGTCGGAGGATGGTGATCCTGATGTGGGTCGAACTTTTTTTTTTGGTTTTATGGCAGATGTGATGGCTTTGTGCGCGGGGATTAGGCCGGTGGTTATGGTGGACTATGGAGGGAAGCTGCCCGAACTGCAACAACACTTGTGCGCTCTGTTGAGATTCTGTCACAAGGTTGGTCCTCTGTGCTCAAGTTTTCGACTCTCCGAAAGTTTGCGAATTTGCCTAATAGCCTGCGGAGTTTGCGCCATTGGCTTGAAACTCAGTTTCATTTCGCTTGTTCGTTGGACGCGTGACGTATTAGCGTTTCATTTCCATTTTCTTCTTTGTAGAGCTGGAGTGAGTTTGTTGATTGTTGGTCCCCTGTGCGTTGTGTGATGGCCTGTACTGAAAGCCATAGAAGGGCAATTCTTGAATATCTAATCTGAACTGTAGATGGTTTATTCGCTCAATTGCTTGCCTTACTAAATGCATATGATAACCTCATATCAAGCTGAAATTTGAACTCAGTCACTATTGGTGAGTGATGGGTGTTTTTATCTTAAGTTGTTGTGTTCATTTGTCCAGGCTCAACCCATCTGGCGTGCCGATGTCATACAAGTTTTCATGAAATGTTGCTCTTTAGCCTTACATGTATTTCTTATTTGTGTTCTTTATCATGATGTTTTATTTTTGGCTTCAGATTTCTGTTTCCCTGACTTGCTTTTTATTATGGTTTAACATTTTTTGGATCCAGGAATCACATATATTTGAGCATTTAAGGGTAATGCTCATAGAGGACATGATTTATTTAGTACATAGAAGAGGACTTGCCGAACTTGTGAGATCTAGCTTGAACTCAGAAGCACAACTGTTCTTTGTGGACCTTGAACAAGATCCTCCTCAGGTTGATTCCTTGCTTGTGCTTGTTTCCTTGACACTTCTTGGTATAATTTTATAGTGCGTGGGTATCCATATTGTCTTTCTTTTTTCTTTGGTTCCATGTGGTTAAAAGCTCTTTTCCGTTTCCTCCCCAGATGATAAGAGAAAGAGAAGATAATGTTGCAGCAATTCAGCTTGTTTCAGTTCAGAAGATCTTCTCTCTGCATTTTCCAATTATAGAACAGAACAATGAAAGCTTAACATGTAATAAGACAGGCATAGTAAGCACTGATACGTCTTCAGTTGATGATTCTACTGCCCTGGGGAATCCTGACTGTATTGATTTGAGTAGCTGTCTGCAAGATACAAAGATTAGCATCCCAACATTGAATGGGTAAGTTGTTGCATTTATGAATGCTTCTTCTTACAATGTCAATGCTAATTCTTCATCGTCATTCTACCCTTGTTCTTTCATGTTGTTTGAAGCAATCTATATTACCCATTCCAAAACATGGCTGAAGCCTTTAAAAGGAGTACTCAAAGCTGGCATTTGTTTGTCCGTCTCCAAGTTATAATGTAGTACTAACTGTATTAAGCAATTTGAGACTTGGCTTTCAGAGACTACTACATAGTTGTCACCATCCTCAGGACACTGACTAGCATGTCACAGTTGGTAAACACTTGCCAGCAAATTATTTTCTTATATCCAGTTAATTGATATAGCATTGACAAGTGATTATTGGGTTTACTGCGGATGGCTTCTTGGTTATCACTGCCAGCAATTTATTTTCTTATATCTTATTAATTGATATAGTGTTGACAAGTGATTATTGTGTTTACTGCAGATGGCTTCTTGGTTATCCAGTTGTGTATTTGTTCAGCACAGAGCACATTGAAGAGGCGATCTATAATCTGTCTACCAAGTCACTTCGTGTCTTCAGAATTCTATTCTCTAGGTTCTTTCTCTGTCTTCGTGTTTTATGCTATTAGAAAAGAAGAGTTCGATTAGACCAATGCATGACAGCTCCACCTGTGCAAACAAATGCTTTCACCTGTTTTTTAACTTTGATTTTCTACTTTAATGTTTTCTTTTACCTTGACTGGAAAAATATGATTTGGAGAATTATATGAGCTTGTCAGATGGAAGAAGAGAAGCAGACTTTGCAAAAAAGATTTGATGCAGTAAATTCATGATGTAGTCACTTTATGTAGGCCAGGTGTAGGATTTTTTCTTGTCTTTATTGCTACTTGAGTTTCCTGGAAGCCTTTAATCTGTGGCTACTCTAACTCCTTTTTCCTCCCTATCTGTTTAAAAATAATAAGCGAGTCTTCCTACTGGCCTATTCTTCTTTGTAAGCCCTGAGATTGTCTGTGCTTTCTCGGGGCATAGCCATACCTATGCGGTCGTTGAACTAAAGTGAGTCGTCATTTAATTTGGACAAATATTGATGGAACATCCTTGATTCGAGTTAACTATGTGGCACTTGGGTAAGTAGCGGACATATTCTGCATTGAGTATTGGTATACTCTTCAACCTTGGTTTGGTGAATCTCACTGTTATCTTCATCTCATTTTGAATGATTGTAATTTGATTCTCTCCATGTCCCATAGTATCATTTCTTCTCTATGTGTCATTCAAATCTGTCATCTCCCTTGACACTCTTCTCGTGAGCCCTAGCTTCATCAATTGATATATCTTTCATCTCTTTCATCAGTGTCTTTTCTCTCAATTTGTTGATGGTTTCCTGTTTCTTACTTCTTTTTGCTTGAATGTTTTGGTGCATCCGAACAAACATTCTATATTAAGAAGCCAATTCTAGATAGAGTTGAGTTCGCGTCAGTGTATACTTGTTGGGTTAACTTGGTTGATATGAACAAGTACACTTTCTTGGATTTGGATGATATTCATGAACTGGTAGTGGTGACCACAATTTGACTATTATTAGATGTATTATATGCGACAACAATCTAATCACTGCCTTATCAAACCCTTTATCTTGATCATGCAGGAAAAAGACCCGTGCAAAAGTTACTGAACCAGAAGAAGAATTAATGAGGTATCACTTTCTTGCTGCATCCTCGTGAATATATTATCACATTGCCTTTGAAGCAAAGAAACAAATCATGAACCCTAGTCTCTTAATACTTTAAAGTCCTAATCCAAGGAGAGTCCTTGTTTGATGTTTCTTCCTGGGACAATGTTACCAAATGAAGTGTTGCTTGATGCTAGATGGATTAACCAACCGGTTTCTTGTTGTGAAGGGATAATGATAGGAAGAAGCTTGACTGTTGTAAGCTTCTCAAGCCAACAATATATCAATGAACACAATTGTAAGTGAATTAGAAAATTTGGAAGCTCCAAAAATCACAAAATCAAGCATTTGACCCAAAAGGAGCCAAACGTTCTTAGATTGAGAAGTTCTTCCTTTAGAATGATGTTATGCCCTAAACTTGTGCTCTAAACTTTCCGAATTACTAATAGTCACAATGAACACAATTATAAGAAAATTAGATGATTTGGAAGCTTCAAAAACCACAAGATCAAGCATTTGACCTAAATGTGGATGGTTAGGTTGACCATGATGATGTTTTAGATTGACTCGTACGTCAACTGTACGCAGTTGGTTTACTAAAATTCTGTGAGTATAGTCCAGAAAGGGGTCTTCTCCCTTGATGTAGCATTAGGTATTTGGATTGTATTCAGGTCTTTATATTGTTAAAGTTCAGTGGACTGATGCATGAGACTTCGGAGTCGCAAACATGCGGATCGTTCTATAATCACTATCCCCTAGTTGGCTTAGAGGTTGCAATTCACTTGGCAGCTTCTCAGTGCCTTATGATCTGAGCATGGGTGGGAGTCGTGAGCCGTGGGCCGAAGCATTCTTGTCTGATATGCACGAAAGGTGGGGAACATGCAAACCTGCTTGGAGTGGATTGCGTATGGAGGTCACCGAATGCTATCCGCAAGCCATTGTGCTGTAGCATAATTGGGTAAGTATACATTGAGAATTTTTTGAATACCTCAGTGCACGATATCAAACTACTGTATCAATAATCATTTTTCCATACGAATGATTTATATCTTGGTCATTCGCAACAAACTGTTTTCTATATACCAAACATGCTCAGAGCTCGAGCAATGCAGCAACCAATGATCCACTATTCTTGCATCACAAAATGAACACAGACGCAATCAGGCATGTGTTATTGTGAGTAAAAACCGTAAAAAGAAAAAAAGGAATCAATGACTTAAATCACTTGCTAGAAACATGTGTTCTGCAATTTGATGACTCTCTCACTCTCTCTCTCTCTCTTTCTTTCTCTCTCGGTAAGTTTCATCATTAGAGTCAATTTCAGGAAGTGTGATCACGAGTTTGATCATTAGCAAAAAGCAATTTTCTGAGGTTAGTTCAGGGGCCACTAGCCTTGATAGTTACCTGGATATTGTGGGACAGGACTATCGTGACTCAAGGAGATAAATTAGGTGCTGTGAGAGGCTCGGATGCTTAGTCTCATAAAAGAAAGTATACCATGCCTTTTTTCTTTATCTTAAAAGCATGCTTAAGAACCCCTAATGTATAGACTACTAAATGAAAAAAGAGATAAGTGCAATCGAACTTCTAAAACTTATCACGAATATGCAATAAAGTTTTAAAACTTGTTTCATTATGCAATCAAATACTTCAGTTAGCTTCTTTAATTTTGAGTAATAGAAAATGTTGATGTGACTTATTTTATTAATTTCTCTTTGCCATTACGTTAATAAAGAGTGCAACAATGGCCAAAGAAATGTTGCTTATCAGATTAAAATGTAAAAAGAAAAGAAAATGCACTTAGCCGGAGGGGCATTGCTTTAAAAAAGAAGAATATGTTCATTGGAAGTCTTAAAACTTTTTATGAAAGTGCAATTGAGTCATAAAACTTGCAAAAAGTGCAATTAAGTCCTAAAACTTGTCAGATTGTTGTCAGATTGGTACAATTAAGTCTTTCCGTTAATTTCGTCAAACTTGGCTAACGGAAAATACTGACGTGGCTTTTTTTCTTTTAATATTTTCTCTCACACGTGGTGATGATGTGGCTAAAACGATATTGTTTTGGTCCAAATTTAATTTATTACAAATTTTTGTTTAAATTAAATTATAAATAAGCTAAAAAAAAATTTTGTTGAACCAAGCATCGAAGCCCTTGCTGCCGCTGCCCCACCATCGCCGGGAAGGGCTGGCAAAGGTGGGGAAATGGGGGCCGGCGACCCTTGCCGACTACAGGCGAGGGCTTGCTTGCCCTTGCCTAGACCTGGGCAAGGGTTGCCCGCCCTTGTCATTGCTGCTGTAAACCAAATGTGTTGAACTAATCTATGAGTTCACGTAGGAGAGAGATAAGAAAAACCGAGAACTGTCTCTTGAATTGTACCATGAAAGGCGAAAATGCAAACGGAAATGTGCTGCATATGAGGAACAACTGAACATGATTCTGAAAGATTTGCAGGATCACACTGATGACCTAACAAGAAAAGTTGCTGATGTAACTCAGAGAATCAGAGAAATTGACGAGGACCGGTTAGAGAACTCGGAGACCATAGGGGTTTAACCCGTGGAGTGCAAGATTTCCCTTGTTTGAACTTTCGGCGGTTCTCTCTGCTTTCCAAACCACTATCAGAATCCGGTTCATGACTGCTATATTATGTTCAATTTGGGAGAAGATATTTCAAGGTGAATAGAGCTTGAAGGCCTCATTAGAAAACTGGAATATCTAGGGTCAAGGTGCTTACATCGGTGCGTTGTGCTCTGGCCACTTGCATTATTTCTCAGTGTGTTCATTAAGAAATGTGAAAACTGATTGAAGTGAACGCTGTCCATATTCTTTTTATTCCGCATTGTGCCACTACATTGAAGTCTAGTCGATTTAAAAGGACTGTTAAATTATCTTTCCCAATTTCAGTCCTTTTCTCTGGCTTGTTGCAAGCATTTAACCGTAAACCAGCAGGATTTTTTTGACACACTGACCTTCAGATGTTTATCGTTTGCCTGTGAGACCATTGTCGCGACTGCCTCTAGGAACTTGACAAGCTGCAGTCATTCATTCTTTCATGTGTTTATCGTTTGCCTGTGAGACCATTTTCTAATACCCTTTTGTGTCCCGCCTAATTAGAATGCAATTGCAAGAGTTATTTCAACCACATACAGATAGAGACCTTGGTTTTCCCTTATGTAGTGATGTTGTTGTCACTCTGTCTCGGTCAACATTAACATAGTCATATCTAGGTATTGTATAGTGACAATGTTCATAGTAAGAGTAAATCCAAGTCAATATACCAAGAGCGAAAGGACAAAAAGTTGCCAGGGATTGGGGAGAGTAAGGAGACGATTTTGGAATGATGCAGTTAATCGTTGCTGTCCATATTGCGGAAGTCCTTGCACATAAGCGAGATTGAGTAAAACATGAAGTACATTTTCCCTTTGTTTGTCCCATCTTTTCTGGTTTCCTTCCATCAAGATTTCTTTTCCCAAAGGAAAAATAAAAGAAGTAAGTTACCATGACAATCAATGATAATGGGGCTATCAAAAACCAACCAAACAAGTGAACCATAAACCCACTTGCAAAAGATTTATACTCACAATCACATGAATCTCGAATCCTTTCCTTCCGTGTGCTCGACTTTGCCGCATCTCCATCGTGCGCCACTTGATTAGATCTCCATCCACTCGATCCATTCGTATCAACCACATGAGAGATCTATCGTGCATTGCACCTCGAATTACTTGATCCATGTGATTAGTGGCGACGGAGACTCCGGAACCCTCTCGCAATGTGCGATGAAAACAAATGACACGAGCAACCCCAATCCTTTCGATCTCTCCCTCCTTTTCTTTCCCCTCCCTCACACATCCACCACCATGAAAAATATATACAACTTAATGAAAATTTAAAGAAGAAAAGAGAGAACGATAAAAGAAGAAGAAAAAGAACATGACGTGGGTCAACTCAAAGCACTAAAGCCACCCCCTTTCATCATTTGCTTGAACTCCTTGAAGTTGACCATCCCATCACCATCCACATCCACCTTCATGATCATCCTCTTGCAATCCTCCAATGTCCTCCCTTGCTTCAACCCCAGAGAGGCCAGCACCGACCTCAGCTCATCCACCGTGATGAACCCGTCCCCGTTCTGATCAAACACATTGAAGGCCTCCCTCATGTCCTCCTCCTCGTCGCGCTCCTCCATTATGGACCGGTACAGCGCGCCGAACTCGTCGATGTCCACGCAGCCGTCGCCGTTGACGTCGATCTTCTCGATCATCTCCGCGAGCTCCTTGTCGGGGATGTATATCCCGAGGTTCTCGAGCGAGTCGCTGAGCTCCTTCTGTGTGATCCGCCCGTCCCCGTTGCGGTCGAACATCTGGAAGACGCGCCTGAGCTCCGCGGCGTCCATCCGGGCCTTCTGCAACGAGAGGGAGCGCGGCAACGGCGGCGGGGCCGGCGGCGGTGTCGGGTCGACGAGGAGAGGGGACCAAGAAGGAGGGAGGCAGACCCTCAGCTTCTTGGGGACCAAATAGTGGAACCAAGTGTGGAGGAGGTTGTAAAGGAGGAAAATCCTTGTGATTATGGTTGGCATTGCTATAAGAGAAAGAGAGAGAGAGAGAGGAAGAGAGCCTGTGCTTGCCTTCTTTGGTTTGGTTGGTTTGTTTTGGGGTGATGGGAATTGTGTGGTGAGTGTTTGGGGAGTGATGAGAAATTCTTGGGGAGACACAGAAAAAACTTGTGTGTGAAGTTCTTCAAATAGAAAGTGGTGGAGGGAGGTGAGAGTGTTTATTAGAAAAGTTTCATGGAGGATCATATCATATATATATATATATATATAAACATGATCATGTCATCAATGTATGGTGAGTTAGGTCATGGGGGATTCACGCGTTTTTGGTATTATTATTATTATTGTTGCTGTTGTTTAATTGTTATTTTTTTGTGGGCGTCGAATTTCAAAGACGCGTTGTTATAATTGCTGTTGTTGGTGGGCAAACCTTGTGTTATTATATTCTCCGTTGTAAAATAATGTGCAATGAAGGGTGTCCGTTTTTGCCCTTTTTTTTTTTGCCCTTCTTCTTCTTTTTTGTGGTTGGATGTGAGAATGGGACCGTTGATAACGGATCTGAACTTTTAAGGCTCTTGTTTTTTTTCTTTTCTTTTCTTTTTCCTTTCGTTTTTTTAGTAACGGTAATGGGTATGGGAGGCTTTTCGAGTACTCGAGTAGCTCTCATTGAGCGTGGCAGCTCCTCTCTTCGCGCGCGCAAAGTAATTGCTAAAGTATCCAAGCTCGAACCCTTAAGGAAGGTCGCGTTATGGTTCGGAAATGAGGCGATTTCAAACTCGGACTTAGGATGAAAGTAGAGGAACATGCTGGTGATTTGGACAAAGAGTTGATATGAACTTGTAGCTTTTCTTTCGATTGTAATGGAATAGACGGATTGCAAATGCCATAAATACAATTGCCCCTAGATATTACCATGAGGGTCGTATATTCGATATAGAATATTCGATTTCAACGAGCGTTTCCGCACTAGAGATGATCTAAACCAATGGGTTAGTGACCCATGCACCTCAGTCAACTTGAAGGTCAAAATGTGCTTGTCTAAGGCTCCATCTATTTCGCGAAAAATCAATGATTTGAAAAATATTTTTTTAAAATAATTTTTTATATCTCTTACAAAAATGAATAAACCAAAAGATTTTCACCGTCAACGATAATATTTGGATATAGATTATTGTTGATATGAAAATATTTTTCATTAACTAATTATATCAAGATATATAAGTGATTATTTTTAGGAAAATATTTTTCAAATCATTTATTTTTCGCGAAACAAACGGATGCTAATTACATAATTTCTTTCATGAGCTCGATTCGATCACCTTGCTTTACTCAAGCCCATATAGGTTGCCCTCATATGAAAAATGATATTATTTAATAAAAGGCAGGTCGCTACAAGAATTTTTAAGGCAAATAATAAAGTCAGTATTTCGGATCGATTAATTATTCAAGTCTGGATAAACCCTCTGATTTTGGAGAAATATAAAATAAAATATGCCTTATTTCTTACCTAATGATCATTTGCATACCTTCGTGTTTGCAAATATCATTCACACCACTATAAGCAAAACCCCACATTATAAAACTGACATCCTCGATAATTTACGATTTGGAAAAGGCAATTTTCGGGAAAAAAAATGGACATCCCGGTGACTATGATATAATGATAATCAACGTGAAGTTGAAGCTGCAGAATGGTCTTCAAAATTTAAAACTCGAGTGTGTATTTGGTATTTTCGAATGTAGAAGTATGTAAATGGTAGTCGGATTAAATACGAGCCAAAATTTTTGTAATTTCCCTAAAGTTTGAAAGAGAGACCCGTTTGTCCAATTTTCTTATGCCCTCCTCTTTTTGGGTTTCTTCGTTTGGCGAGAAAGGAAAGGGGAGACAAAGGCGGAGCCGTTGAGGACAATGACGCGCCATGGTGTTGTGGGGAGCAGGCCGGACGATAGCGACCGTCGGATTGGATCTCCCCCCACCCCCCCCCCCCCCCCCAACGGCTATTGCCGCGTGATTGGTGGGTTTCGCGACACGTGGCGTCCTTTCGGGGGTACTATCTATCGGTTCTGGCTAGCACTTTTCTGGTTGGACTGTCCTGCTGTTCTATGATGACTTGTGAACGAACGAATGAGACTTTGGTCGTTGAAGAGCGACGGTGAGGACGGCTCTAAAACGGGAACGTCTCTATGCGCTCCCAATCCAACGACGGAGTGCATGATCGCGGTTAGGGATGATGGGTTTCGGATTTGAAATCTGGAATTTACCTTGTTAGAATCGATTCTCGGTTTTTAAAATCCGAAACATATTTTGTTTGTCATAGAACCTACCCTGTTTTTCTGATCCGGTTCCCGGTCTACCCTAGAACCTGTTTTTTGTTTAATATTTTACAGCAAAATAGTATGAGTAACGAAACGGTTCAAAATAAAAGATGAACGAGGGCGAGCGAGCACGGGCGAGTCGGGAACGAGCGAGGGTTGCTAGGCTCGAATGAGTGACGGCGAGCCGCAAGCGAGCGAAGAGGAGGGTGAGTCGCGAGTGAGCGAGAGAGTCGTGAAGTGTCTGAGTGAGGTTGAAGAGAAAAGAGAAAAAGAGAGAGGGATAGATGAAAAGATGCCAAGAGAAAAAATTAGTATTTTTAGGTTTTATGAAACTGGTTCCAAATTCAGTCCGGTTCCAGAGTGGTTCTTCTTCACTTAGAAGCGGAAATCAGATTAATTTTTAAGGCTGTCCGATCCAATTCCCTAGTAGAATCGATCCGGTTGCATAGCCCTAATCACAATCACTAACCGTGTTGCTCGTGTGAGGTTGTTAAAGGTTAAGATGTACTCAGCACTTGGATGATCGAGTCAAGACGTAGAGATTTCTCAAGAAAATATTCCAACAAGTCATAAACCTATTGTACAACGGCCAATTCTGTTCTAAATTTTTCAATTTAGTCAATGTAATCCTAAACCTTTTGACAATTTTCCACTATAATTCATCTGGCCAATCTAGGCCGGAAATTGCTGACGTAGCGATCCAATCTGCGTGCAACTATTCTATGTGGCACGGCCGGCACTTATATAGATGATTTTTGCAAATTATTTTAAAATTTTCTGAATTTTCTTTTCTTTTCCTATTTTACTATTCATTTTCTTCTTCTGCCGGTCGCCGGCCACAGGTGAGGGTCAACAAGGGTCACAACACACTCACCAAATCTGGGCGAGGGCGTTGTGGCTCTCGCAGGCCACCCCTTGCCCAGATCTGGCTAAGGCGTCCCTCACCGACCCTCACCCATATTTGGGTAAACACGGCCATCGCCAAGGCCTCAACGGTTACAAATTTCCAAATTGCAGCATAAAAGTTTCTAGTCCTTCGGATCAAAACTCATATAACATGATAGTGACACGGTCATAACATCATCACAAGCCTCATAGATACAAGCGAACCTTAGTTGTCGTATCTTCTCTAACTGGGTGCCGATTCAAACTCGTTGTGCTTCAAGTCAAAATGTTGTGTATTTCAATGTATAATTCTTTGACGAGCAGCAAAACGAGTCATTCCTCGGTTTTCAAAGTCGCATTCATGAGTCTTGGGATAGAAGCAAAGCACCGATGATCATCTAAAGAATCTCAATAAGTGCGATCAGAGGCTTGAGCATTAGGTAGTTTATCTTGCAGGCCATCGCAGGCTCTAACATCCGAAGTTACAGTGCTTTCTAAGTAAGAACATGCATATTCGTGTTTGCACATGGGACACAGTCTAATCAAAAGGCTAATATGAAATCTAAATAATATTGAAATGTACACAGATCCCCATCTCAACACTGCATTTGCTAACATCTCTTTGACACTACCAATGGATAGAATGACCAATTACTTGATGCTTTCGGCTCCCTTGATTCAACCGCTCACATCATGCTGCATACAAACTCAGCCGACTGTCATTTCATCTCCCTCCATTCAGTCCTCACTGAGATCCAAAACCCTCTCTTAATCTTTTTGTCCCTTTCTGATGCAGTCAAGTCATGAATTAACAAAAGGGATTAGCTAAAAGTTGACTAAGGTCTGGCTTTGTCTGGAGAAAACTTAGTCAATGCTTTAAGTGGGTGTCCAGCATCTTAGAGTGGTGTCTAGCATGTGTCGTCACGTGCAACATGGATCAAGACACGCTCAGTGCTTTTTATAATTAACGTGGGGGAGATGCTAATAATTTGTGGCACGTACTGTTATCATATGAGGGTGAATGGAGTGATTGATGAACAGTGGTGGGGTTGACCAAGCGACTGGGAGGGAGTGATGTTCCACTCAGGAGAGACAATGCAGGGGTTGAGTCCAGCCAGTGCTTATTGCATCCTGCCTTACACCTGTCTCCATCTCTGCATGAGCTGTGTTCTCTCTGGCGTGTTTAACCTCCTCCAATTGCGCCCCTCAAAACGAGAAACCCTAGAGAGCCTTTAACTTTAGGATAATTGCTTTTCGAGTTCCAAATGAATCGGAGAAATTATCAAAAAGTCATGAATCTATTATATTTATATTAATTTGGTTCTAAAGTTTTCGATTGTGCCAATTCAATCATAGATCTTCTGATAATTTGCTAATTAAGTTTTAAGCTTTTCAATCTTATCAATTTAGTCATAAACTTTCTAAAGATTTGCCAATTTAGTCATTTTCCGATCAATTTTGGCTAGAAAACACTAACGTGACAGTCTAGTTATCACCGGCCATCCTATGTGACACTACCGATGCTAACATTGACAATTTTTTGCATTTTTAAATTTGTTATTCTTTATTCTTTTCTTTTTTTTTCTTTTCCATTTTTTTCAACTCTTGGCCGACGAGGACTGGCAACCCTCACCTAGTTTGGGGGAGGTGTCGCGTCCCTTGCCAGGTAGAGGCGAGGGCCGCTTGTCTTGCCCGAACTAGGTGAGGGTAGATCGGCGACCTCTCCGCCCTTGCCAACCAAGAGTTCGAAAAAAAAAGGGTAAAGAAAAAAGAAAAGAATAAAAGAACAAAAAATTCATAAAAAAACTTTGAAAAATGCAAAAAATTGTTCACATCAGTATCGATCATGTCACGTAAGACGATCAGTACTGACTAAACCGTCACATCAGCGTTTTCTGGCCAAAATTGGTTGGAATGACTAAATTGATAAATCGTCAAAAGGTTTAAGATTAAATTGGTACAATTTAAAGATTTAAGACTGAATTGACTAATTGTCAAAAAGTTAAAGACTAAATTAGTCAACCTAAAAGGT